ATCCAGAGACCAGCTGAGTAGATTCAAAAATGAGAAAACTCAACTGTTTAACTCTTGGAGAGTTGTAAAATGCCCAAAAAAAGGAGTGTTCCTTTAAAGCCAGTTTATAATTCTGCATGAAGTTCACACAAAAGGTCAGATGTAGCATTTGTCCTACCCTGACGCACACCATAAAAAATGAAACTTTATGTCGCAATTATGTAGAATTGTATATCACAATATCTGTGATTGACAGTAGGGTAGTGTTGATGAGTGTGGGTGGGGCTGAGAGTTGTGGGAGTGGAGCGAGGCTGGTGGTGTAAGTGTTCAACAAGTGTCGAGTCCCAAAGGGGTGGACTCTTTTGTTATGTATTTATTTTACATAAAAAGTTGTTGAATATTCAGTTCCCACCTATTTTTTCATAAATGAGTGCGAGTTTGAGCTACTTCTACAGTAGCTTTGCAAACATTAAATCCGAATCCAAATCTGGCATAAATCCAAAATATCTGGAAAGAAACTCAATACAGTGGATCATAGAAACCCCATTGCCTAATAGTGTTTCGGAAGTGTTCTTGCCAGTGCAGCACAGATAGAACGCAGATTCTACCATTGTGTCATGGGGTATAGCGATCACTCAATGCAGAAATATAAATCAGGGTTTAGTCAATAACTGGATAGTCTAACTGTATATTATCCTGCGTTCCATTCCAAGTCAGATGTGAGATAGTTCTTCACAATATCTTTGAGAGTCATTTAAAAAGAATGCGTTAAAAGGCCTTGAGATTTTTTATTTATTTAATTTTGACATCCTTTAATTTGTCTGACATGCTTTTAGAACACAGCTATTGCAAAATATGAAAAATTCAAGATATGTATAAGAAAATGTGTTCATATTAAATTAATCTTTTTGAAATTTAATTCATCTTTATTTCTATAGCACTTTTACAATGTAGATTGTGTCAAAGCAGCTTAACATTAATGAAGTTTTAGTCAATGAAACCGCTTCAGTCCAGTTCTCCCAGTTGAAATTCAGTTTAGTTCAGTTCAGAGTAATAATGTAAATGTCACTGCTAAAAGCCCAAAAACTGAAGAGCAAATCCAACAATGCACAGCTCCACAAGTCCTAAACTAAGCAAGCCAGTGCCAGGGGCATTAGCTAATGCCAAGCTTCATAATGTGGTTCATGTCAGTGTTTCTCAACCATGTTCCTGGATGACCACCAGCTCGGCACCATGTCTCCTTAACCAAACACACCTGATTTAGATCATTAGCTCATTAGCAGAAACTAAAAGGCTAAAGGAGACATCCAAAACATGCAGTGTTGGTGGTCCTCTAGGAACATGGTTGAGAAACACTGGTCTATGTGAAAGTTACAGAATTAAACAAATAGTAACCAAACAATAATAATAATAATAATAATAATAATATAAAATATTTATATTTTTAGAGAACACTTTATTTTGATGGTCCATTTGATTATTAGCAGACTGTCTGCTTAATATCTGCTGATTCTGCTCCTTCAACAGACATTTAACTGACTATAAGAAACTTTGCAGGTACATGTCAACTTACACTACCCCTAACTTTAACACTAACCCCAACCTAACAGTCTACTTATAATCTAATGGGTATTAGTTGGCATGTAGATGCAATGTAACTTAAATTCAACAAACAGAACATCAAAATAAAGTGTGGCTTATTTTTTTTATTCTTCTGGAGCGAAAACATTTGCCTTACTGTATTTGCAGTATATGCGCTCATATTTGCCTAATGATATTATATGGAGTTTCTGCATCAGATTGCAAGATAGAAGCCCAGTTATGTTACTGTAAGTGTTGCTAATTTCAAGTGTACAACATTTCAGCTTTCTGAGATGGAATGGAAGCCGCAGCATCATCTATGATTTAGGAATCAGGCTGTATGTACTGTACATGTACTGAACGTCTTAAAGTACATTTTATATTTAATTCTTTATCAATGAGTCAAATGTATATTTTTGTATAGCTAAGCAAAAGCTTTTTAATCCATAATAAGGGCTTTTTGTTCAATGTTTTGGACAAAATCGTTTTGATCACATTTAAGAACATATGACATAAAAGAGCATCAGGTGTACTGCGTATGCATCTAAAAATGTCCCACAGCCGCTCATTAAAGAATATTGGGTGTACGAGTTCTGCTGAAAGGTGGTTAGTTCAGGAACAAGGTCAGAACACACATACAATCAGTTTGTATCTTGACATGGTCACTGCATTTGTAACATGTCCTCCACATATCATGAGAAAATCACATCCACATGACATTCCTCTGAAGCCCTTACTTTGGAGTCCAAGTATGAGCATTTAAATCACATAAACTGTTCAATTTGTTTTCATCAAATGCTTTGGTTTATTATTTAAATCTACATGAGCATTAGCTGTATACAAATATTTACTGAATTTTTGTATGACCTTTAAATGCATGTTTCACTTGGTGAGTCTCCCACAATAAGGGCAGAAAATGAAACCAGTCAGAGGCCACACATTTCATATTGTTCACACCGTATAGACATAGTACACATATGTACAAGTATTAGAAACAAGGTTCAATTGTTATGAGAACTGCTTGAATATCATTGATCAATAATCTTTGTTATTGATAGACTGGCTAGTAGTTTCCATTCCAACATATAAGGGTATCAGTTGCAAAAGGAATTCACTAATGATTGCATACAAAGGGGGAGGACAAATATTTGCACAGTACTGGTGATTTGTAATGCCAGTTTATCATTCCTGATAGCAGATATTCAAGCATCTCAGTATAACGCAGAAATCTAGCATTTTTGCATGACTATGCATGGGTGATAAATCTTAAAGAGATGATGTAATCTTATGAAATAACTCGATTTATACACAAAGGATAAATATATTACATCATTTTCATATTACAAACAGCACACCGTTTTTCTTCTAGCCTCACCCCTGCATACCACACAGTTTTACTCTTCATATTTTTAAAAAAAAGACCACGTTTGACTCTTCTCTGCCCAAAACATTCACATCTTGTTGAAAAGGAAACCATCCAGTTTTTTGGCCTCAAGTACTGTATCACACAAGACATCTGCATGGAAACAGGACGGTAGGCAGATATTTATCCTTTTATCTCCACTGCTACACCATTTTGCTTTTAAACTGACAGCTCAAAGAATCTACTGGACCAGTTTTCAGCTATTTTTAAACCATCTTTAAAACCTACCTTACTGTGACTGGCAAACTGTATTGTCAGGTCTATGAACATGCAGAGTTTATGCTTTCTCTGATGTCGAAAATGCCAAAGAAAAGTGTTTTATCAGTTTAAACAAGGCTCCTAAAGTCTGTTTAAGGCAAGCCAGGTCGCTCGGCATTTTAAGAGCCTTTAATCTTTCATTTTACAGCAGTAATGTTGTGAAAAAGCATTAAAATAAATCAAAATAAATGATCTTGAAAAATATAAACATCCAATTCACTGGTTTATTCACCTGGAAAGTGACAATCAAAACCTTTAAATTTGGGTCAACCCAAATTAATCAATCATTCTCTAGTTTAATCAATAGGGCTATTTAGGGGCGTGGCTACTGTACCAGACAGGCTGAGCCAGAGGGTGTTTAGGTGATACAACACTATGCAGACCACCTAGTTTTTCAAGGATTTTTATGATATTTTTTGCGATAAATATGACTGATTTTGTGGCGGTAATTCCCAGAAAGTCAAGATCTGAAACTGTAGTGATAAAGCCAAAGGAAGGTTGCATTACTCTTATTTTTATCCACAATCTTACTTTTTCTCAGATTTCACTCCCCAGAGCCTCTGACATTGTCACACATAGAATATGCGTTAGGGCTTCCCCTACCGTAATACACCTAAAACATGTATTGCCATAAAAGTCGTCAATGGCAGGGAAGTGTTTTCTCTCGTTAACAGCAGGGAAAAAGTTAAATGAAATAATCTATCTTTTTGATGCACATCATAATACCAGCCATACATGTACAGCACAAATAATGACCTTCAATTTGGTCATGTCCAGCGACTGTCATCCTTGAATCAATCTTATCTCCACCTGTCTGTTCCATTGCTCGGTTTGCTCCAAGTTTCTTTTGCAGTCTAAAGTGCGTCAAACGCACAAAACGCCCAATTCACACCACAAGATGTCTATATCTCATCTTTGCTATGACTTCACATGTAAATCCCTCGCGCTTCATCCGCGTCTGCTTATTGCACAAGCTGAAAACTCCCCCGCCCCTCATGTAATGTAATGTAATGATTGTGAGGGCGCAGGTGAGACGTTGTTTTTCAGGAGACACTCAAATACATCACGTGTGCTGCGTTTGCAACATCTATAAGTCATGTAAAACATTTAATTGCAAACTGAAATAAATATGCTTTGATTAAATGGTTTGGAATTTGAGGTTTTATGAGATTATATACATTTTTTTTGCAAATATTTTGAGTTTAATTAAAAATTGAGGATCGCACAAACTTTCGACTTTGACTTGTTGATTTTGCGTTGGATTCAGCGATCACGGAATCACGAAAAACTAGGGGGTCTGACTATGGCTGAAGTATTACTTGGGACTTTCTTATAGAAGTGCAAGCCAGAATTGAAACATTTGACAAAATATTCAAAGACAGACAATGTGAAAAACTAGGACAGACACTGGACAGAACTTTTAGGTCATCAGTCGAGAGGACTAAGGAAAAATTATTTTACCATTGTTTGATGAGTGTTTAATGAGTGCACTGAGATTGTTGTTGTTTTTAATGAACTGTTATACTAGCAGTGCAGAAACTATAGTTCTCATTTCAGCCAACAGATTCAAGATAACATGTTTTTGAAGCTGCATAACTCCATCCACCACATCCAGTGATGCCTCATTTGTGCACAAATTGCCTTGCGTCTACTTAGCACTGGTCAGATTTAGCTTTTTGGAGGATAGAACCAGTCAACAAGATGTGTATGTCAAGGACATTTGACAACAAACATAGCATGAATGAAATAGCAGACTTACGTCGACAATGAAGAAGTCCAGCCAGCACCAAGCATTGGTGAAGTACTTGACAAAACCATAGGCCACCCACTTTAACAACATCTCCAATATGAAGATGTATGTAAAGACCATGTCAGCATACTCCAGAATGATTCGAATAGTCTTCCTCTGTTCAATATACACATCCTCAAAGGCCTGCAGAACATATGATATGGTTGAATTAACTCCAGTACTATCAGTTGGATTTTATTTCATATGACATTTTTAAGAACAATTGACTTTACATGAAGTGAATTTAGTAATGTTTCAGTTAAAACACTGACAAAATATACGTATTGAAATAACTAGATAAACAGCAAGAACATTTAAAATGTTTATTCGAAACCAAATCTGGAAAAACTCCTAAATAGGCTGCTACTTTGTGCAATAATTTATTTAAAAGCACAAGTTAGAGTCAGCTTTCAAAAAGAAATTGTGTAAGGCAAGATCTCCGATTCTATTACAGTCCTTTTTGGCATCCTTAGTGATGCTAAAGAAAGGAACATTTCCAGAGCCATAAATAGATCCAATTGGATGAATAGTGCAGTGCATTAATCACACTGCCCAGCAATGCAGCTCCGGCGCCTAGTCTCTACAATGAGACAATGTCTGCCTGAATTTCACATCATACATACCTCATAAGGATATCATTGCAACGTTCAGAGAGAATTCAAACAGAATACAAAATATAATGTGCATGAATAATCTGCCACAGTTCCTAAAATATAAAAGTTCTAGGTTTTAACAGTAGCCAATCATAGATAAAAGTGCTTGTGAACATCTTTATGAGTTATTTGTGAATTCTTACCAGTGCTCCACTACTGAGGAGGATCATGAAGATGATGAGGGTTTCAAACCAGTTGTGCTCCACAATCAGATAGCAGGTCTTTCGGAGAAACCACCAATTCTTGCCCCAGCCTTCCGTGATGGGCACATCGCAACACTTGTAGCGGGCAATACAAGCTGTAAAACAGCAAACATTTCAATTAATCTTATGATTCTTATATGTTCTACATTTAAAAAATGTATAATAGTCTCCAAACAGAGGAAGAAGAAAACAACAATCGATAAGCCCTTTACCTTCAGTCCAGCAAGCTTCTGGATCGACATATTCCTCTACCGTCTCCACCACCACTGCTTCCTCTACCTCTGGTTTAATATCTATGGTGCTGCCCTCTGAAGAGCTGATGTCATCCAACTGATCAAAAAGAAAGATGACATTTGTGAAGATAAATTATTTAAGTAAAAATAAGTTTAAGTGAAATTTCAGTAATGGTGCTCAAACAAAGCAACCAATATTACTTGTTTTGGTGTGACTATTAGTTCGGTTGACGTATTGGCCACCAGTGGTGTAAAGCAACAAATTACTAATACTCAAATTACTGTAATTGAGTAGTTTTTCTTAGGAATTTTAATTTACTAAGTAGTTTTAAAAATGAGTACATTTTCTTTCCCTTGAGTACATTTCCAGTGCAGTATCAGTATTTTTACTACTTCAACCTGCAGTCACTATTTTATTTTTATTGTCTATGGGGATTAGAAAAATCAGTCCTTTGATTCCTTTCCAATCGCACATATAAGGTAAATTGCATTATAATGAACTACCTCAAGACATTTATAATTGCAGCAAACTGTTTGGAAGCCTTAAAAAGAATCCAAAAGAAAATGTCCAAAATCATTGACCCAGAAACTGTTGTGTGTCACTGATGTGTGTCACTGATGAGAAGATGACGGATGTTTACTATATGTTGCCCGAAATGGCCTTAAACACCCAGCAGGAATAAGACATCAACATAATATTAAATTGATGTTGTAACCTAACGTTGTGAGGATGTTGCATTTTGTTTGGAAATTAAAATCAGTTGATGTCAGAACCCAACGTCAGGCCGACGTCAGTGTCCAACGTACAACCTAAAATCAACGCCTAATGATGTTACAGCTTGACATTGTGTGGACACTACCACTATGACGTCTATCATACGTTGGATTTTGGTTGCCATACCTGAAGAATAAATAACAGTATTTGACAGCAATATGATGTTAGTTTAAGATGTTGGCACAACGTTGGATTTTGGTCACTTTCTAACATAACCTAAAATCAACCGAATATCAATGTCATCTGATGTCGTTATTGGACATTAAAATAAAGTTGTCCTTAGACACTGGCTAGACATTGAGTTTTGGTCACTTGACGTCACAACCTAAATCTAAACTAATATCAACCTCTTACCTTTACTCTACTTGCACTACATTTTTAGGCAAGTAATGGTACTTTTACCCAAGTATGATTTTTCAGTACCCTTTCCACCACTGTTGGCCACCAATATTTACACCAACGGTTAATCGTTACATAAAGGCAATATAGTCTAAGTTTTAACAACATCATATAACATTTAACATCCAACAGAATTTAAATAATCCAGTATTTTTCTCAGAGCAAAATCATTAAATACTTGCATAAAACTAAATATAATCAGTACAAAATATTAGATTTGAGTCTTATACTGTATGTACAAAATGTCACATACAAGTGGGCCATAATTTTCTGGAGCAGCAAAATGTATAATTTACATATAACAACAGCATTAGTTTTATTTGATAAGTTTAATAAACAAATATGGTCTATTATTTGTCTAACAAAAGTGAATAGGGTATATGCAGAGCTAGTGTTTCCTCTCATACTGATAAACTTCCGGTGAACGTGACTTTTTTTCATTTCATACGGTTTCTTTTACAGCATCAATGTTGCAATGTAAATAAAATACAATCAGTTAAATAGACTTTGGCATTCATTTAGTTTCTCAAGTGTAAACCGTGATGAAAGGCTGTTTACAATAAAATAAATATTCATATTTTAAAGACATGGTGGGGAAAATGTAATTTAATGCAGTGCTTCTTGTACATTCTGAGACAGGTCACTGATTTTTAAAGAAAACAGACCTTAAACGGCATCCAGCTTTACATAGGCTGTAAGCTCTTGACCTAGGTTACTGCAAAATTAAAGGTCCTTCTGCATATTTCTGCATATAACCTATGTTGTTTTAGAAATATTGAATATGTTGAATGTTGAATGGATCCATTCCATTCATTCATTCATTCATTCATTTTCTTGTCGGCTTAGTCCCTTTATTAATCTGGGGTCGCCACAGCGGAATGAACCGCCAACTTATCCAGCAAGTTTTTACGCAGTGGATGCCTTTCCAGCCGCAACCCATTTCTGGGAAACATCCACACACACACATTCACACACACACTCATACACTACGGACAATTTAGCCTACCCAATTCACCTGTACCACATGTCTTTGGACTGTGGGGGAAACCGGAGCACCTGGAGGAAACCGACACGAAGGCAGGGAGAACATGCAAACTCCACACAGAAACGCCAACTGAGCCGAGGTTCGAACCAGCGACCTTCTTGCTGTGAGGCGACAGCACTACCTACTGCGCCACTGCCTCGCCTATTCTTCAAAAATTCAAAAATTCTATTGGTGCATCCTTACATAAGACTGTTTGTGAACCAGTTTTAAAGCCATAATCTATGGACCCTTTTCACACTTGCAAGGTTCTAAGAAGATGAAATCTTCAAAGTTGGAAAAATGTAGAATTTTTCATTGTCGTTTGCTCAATAGCAAATAAATAAATAAAAATTCATGATAGCATTTCCCAAAAAAAAACAACAACCCACAGTCAATTATTAACTACTGAAAGTGAAACTAAAAACAGACTGAGCTTTTGAAACTGTCTACTAATGACTCTGAAACTACTTAGTCCTTGATATCATCAAAGGCATTAGCAACTGGCGATATCTGCGACTATCATCACTGTTATCATCATTTATCTGCTCTAGTCTGAGGAGTGTTAGATTAATCAAATTAACATACAAACTAAATCAAATTTGCCTTTATTTCCTCTGCTGTTTTAACAAAACTCTTATACAGCAGAGTAAGCTAGTTTTCTGTATTTTAATTAACAAAAATATATTTTTATTTCCAAAATGACACAAAGAATACAAATTCTAAGAGTTATTAGGGATGCTCATTTCGGTTAATTTTGCCAACCGACAACCGCTGCTCATTAACAGAATATTAACGGTTAACTGGTCAGAACTATTATTTAATAAAAAAAAAAATGTGTGTCTATTTTGTGTCTGACACATTAAATATCACATTTTTTAATACTGATTTACTTTAAAGTGCGAAGATATTAACAAAAGAACATAACAACAGAACATCTTCAACACTTGCAGTTTTTCAACAGCATAGAAAAAAAACCTAAATAAAAAGAATAAAATAAATAGGCCTGTCCTAGATATTTTTCACTTAAATGAATAATTCAGATTACAAAACTAAAACACTGACTGAATCCTTTTAAAGATCCATGACAGAGGCTATCAGCATCAGCGCTGGTTTGGCAACAACTCATCTGTGTCAAACTGTGACCAGCAATATCCTTCTTTCAACTTGCTTCTTCTGCAAAAAACGTCTGTAAACACGTGTTACCGTATCGTCAGATAACAAATATGTTGCAAATCAGGGGCCGATCACATCGGGAAGGGCGCGTAAGCAGTGCGCAAAATACTCGCGGCCTTTAGTAAATCATTCAAAAGATGCACCTCTCAACGCAAAAAAACACATTCTCTGTGATCGGCCCCTTATGCAGCCACATTTATTGACTTTATAAACTTTAGAAAATTATAAAATAAGATTTTTTGATACCATTAATCGGTTTAAAACGCACCGTTTCGGTTAATCAATCATCTATCTCTAAGAGCTATAAATACAAGCTGATATTAAATTAAATAAAAAGAAATTGTGTCATGCATCCATGAAAAGGTCCATATTAACAGTTCTGTTTTGTGTAGCACTTAAAGAGTGAAATAAGAATCTGTGTTCATGTTTTTCATTGGCCTACAAGATTCTGAACACCATCTTGAAACAATATCCCCCCTTTACTGCATATACATCAGTATCACAGATAAAAATTAGCAAATACCTCTGTATAGAAACAGTAAGCATTTACTTCAGAGGAAAAATCAATAACCACAGGTATTATATTTCCCACCAGCAACTGGGTCAAAACCTAAAAGCATAACAGCATCAGCTCTTTTGCATACTCACTTCTTTGCTGCCCTCTGCCTCAGACTCGCTGCTGAAATCTTCAGTGTTAAGATTCTCAAAGTCCGACTCGCCCACAGCGATGGGCACACATACTGTCAGGTTGGGGTTGTGGATGAAGGACATGTGGTCATCGTCAATCATGTATTTTCCTACACTGCTGCCAATGCCACTGGTAGTTCCGTTGCCATTTTTCTGATAGTCCAGGTCACGGCTGATGTCCACACCTGTGTGATTGGCAATGCAGTTCAGTTTACGGTCGTACATGTCATCAAGCGGCTTGGCTTCGTCTGTGACCTTCCTCCCGAGGATGATGTTGACCAGTTCTCGAACTTTAGCCTTCACCCAGGCGATTCCCTTCTTAATGCGAATAACTGCGATCTGCAGGTTGTTCATCTCACCATCGTCATCGGAAGCAGCCAAGTTGTCTGCGCTGAATGAGCTCAGCAGCAAGGCAAGGAAGAGATTCAACACCTGAACAGTGTGTGAGAGAGAGAGAGGTTATAAATAATGATTTACCATTTTTTGAAGACATCACATTGTGCATGATAAAAACATACTGAAGCATACTGATACATTTATGTAACATACTGAAATCAGGGATGGCAGCAATTAATGGGATAGTTCACCACAAACATTTTAATTACCTCATAATTTTTTCTTCCTTATGTTGCTTTAAACCTATATGTTTTGTTTTTTTCATGTTGAACACATTCATTCATTCACCTTCGGCTTAGTCTCTATTTCAGAGGTCGCCATGGCAGAACGAACCACCAACTATTCCAGCATTTTTTTTTACAGCGGATGCCCTTCCAGCTGGAACCCAGAATTGGGAAACACCCATACACAATATTGTTGAACACAAAATTAGATATTTTGAAGAATGCTGGTTGCTGGTCCCCAAATTAGTTAATGGGTTACTGGGTGCAAGCTATGAGCCTCATTCAAAACAAAATTGTGTTTAACAGAAGAAAGAAACTACATGATTTTGGAAAAAAACTGACAATATGATGTTTTATTTTTTATGATAATTTTACCAGATAAAATGAATTGCAGTATTTGGAAAAAATGTGTAATTCTTCAGACAGAACAAAATAATTTGAAAGGGAGACCATCTACATAAAATATAATAAACCAATCAATCAAAAATCTTGATAAATACAGTAGAGCAAACATACTCTACAAATAAAATGCAGAGCTTTATTGTTTTCTTGTGAATAACTATTTACATTTGAAGACCTGTGCAGAATGTAAAATGACAATGTAGAGGTTTCATCGTACAGTATATATACAAAAATACAATTAATCTTTCTTAAAGTTAGAAGTGTAATTTTTTATTTTTTTTTTATCCCTGAATACTTTAAACCAGGGGTGCCAAAACTTTTTCCTATAAAGGCCCAAAAGCAAATTTGATTGAGGGCTGTGGGCTAAATATATACCAAACTGTATATATTAAATTTGCCATGAGTAATATTCTAATTTATTCTGTAATATTAAAATTAATTAGAAAGCATTGCTCTAATTCATATTGACCATGCAGTATGATTTTTAACATTTTATAATGTACTTATTACAGTAAAACATAAACAATCCCATTTATAACACAAGTTCAATGCTGAATACACTGGTCAAACTTACTTTGATGTGCTGGCAGAAGTTTTGTGCAGTTTGCTTACAGTATTTACATTTTAAACGTCTGATTTATTTACAGTATGTAATTGAATCATTTAATTTCAGTTTGCTCTTTTGCAGCACAGACAAAACAAAGAAACAAAAGGTTACGGTTAATATGAAATGATGATCCCTCTCAAAGGCATTCGCCCCAACCATCTCCCCATAATTCCCCCTCGCAGATCCTGTGATGTGACTACTGTGGATGTGCATATTGCAATATCAATGCTGAAATGTTATATTGTGCAGTCTTAAAACGAAGGGTGAGTAAATGATGACAGAATTTTTATTTTTGTATGATTTTATCCCTTTCATCAATTATTTCATAAATGTCATTGATTTTCACCCTTTTATCAATTTTCAATTAACTCATGAAAATCCCTTAAATCAGTACAGTTCATCTATCAGTGGTCAATTAGACTTGAGTTTTTATTATAGGCATATGTGTCTTATACCCAAATCTTGCACTGCTATGTTTGGATTTAAAAAAAACAGGGTATCAGATTAACATTCTGGGTTATTGCATATACTGTAGACAGCAAAATCAGGTTGTTGTAATCTCAAATGTAAAAGCGTATATAACTCGAAAGATCCATTTAGGTCATGAACATGTAACGTATAAATACTGAAATTTGATCTACTGAGTGTGGTACATAAATACAGACATCGGCTAATAACTAACTGACAGAAGCTTTTAACACACTATGGACATTTGTGTTTGTAAACATCAGTCTTTTTGCATTGTCCAAATTTATCTTTATATTAACTTTAACCTATGCAAAATTATGAAGAAAATAACAACAGTAAAAAAAAAAAAACATGGACGCATACGATATATGCACCATTTGCAATGTATATTAATAATATATTTAATGGTTTTATTAGGTTATCAACGGGTTCCAACTCCTTCACGGACACCAAATTCAAGGACTTTTTTAATCACTAATAATTTTAAATCGAGCACCTTTGTAATTCACACCCCCAGCAAATATATTGCAGTGAAAGTCATTCCTGTACCTAACATTTAATTCATTCATTCATTCATTCATTCATTTTCTTTTCGGCTTAGTCCGTTTATTAATCTGGGGTTGCCACAGCGGAATGAACCGCCAACTTATCCAGCATATGATTGACGCAGTGGATGAACTTCCAGCTGCAACCCATCTCTGGGATACATCCATACACACTTATTTACACTCATACACTATTTACACTACGGACAATTTAGCCAACCCAATTCACCTGTACTACATGTCTTTGGACTGTGGAGGAAACTGGGGCACCCAGAAGAAACCCACGCGAACGTAGGGAGAACATGCAAACTCCACACAGAAACTTAAACTGACCCAGCCGAGGCTCGAGCCAGCGACCTTCTTGCTGTGAGGCGACAGCACTACCAACTGCACCACTGCGTCGCCTACTTAACATTTTGCTTATATTTAATATTTACAATAAAATGTCATAATAATGATGATGTTTTGTTCTGAATGTGCCATTTTCAAATATGTAGACCATTTTAAACAGTCATGTTCAAAGAAAATTAATACAATTAGTTAAATTCAGTACTGTTAAAGCTGCGATCGTTCTTCTTTTCATAATGTGCTGTAGTTCTTGGACAAACAGAATTTTAAAAGAGCAAATAGTGGGCGTGGCTTGTTTTTTCTACCGCAGGAGTGGGCATAGTAAAGTAGACATTTCATTCAGAAAGATCGGGAAAGGGGTTTTAAATGAATTATTACAACCTAACAGACTTCTCCTCCTCACCATTTCTGTTTGTCATCAAAACTGACAGTTAGAGCAGCGTTAGCTAAGCCCATTACTTCAAAATCACACAACCTGATAAATTAACTTCAAACAAGTGCATTTTCAGATTTAAGATTAGAAGGGGTAAAAAGTTGAAAAACTGGCAAGTGAGCTAACAAAATCATATGGTTAGTTCTGATTTCTTGGGGACTTTAATATTCAAATGCCATTTCTAAAATATTGAAAAAATGCATTGTTTGTCAAAGTTTTTGTAAAAGATTTAAATGTAAGATATTTAAATGAAGAATTTCTTAGGTTTTTCGTTCTGTTTTTGAAGATAAACACCCTAAACTTTCAAGTCAAGCACTTTCAAGGACCTTTATTTGTTTTTAAGTAACTTCCAGGCCTTCCATGTCTGAAATTCAAGTACTTTCAAGAAACATGGGAACCCTGTATCAATAACTGATTTTTTATTATAATCCTACAAGACATATTTACATTTTGGGTGAGGATCCTTACTCTTTTGAGTGTCATTTGCACATCCTGTCACGCCACTGCCACTGTAGATGCATCTTACATTATGAACCTTAATGATTAATCTCTCATTTATCTAATTTGCACATGGGATGCTGTCCTATTTGTTTTGGAACAGATCTTGTAATTACAGTTTTCAGTGCAACTCTGCTCACATCAAAACCAATTAGGTGTACTTACCACCAAGTTCCCGATAACCATGACCATCATGAATACGATGAGACACATGGCCTGTCCAGCCACCTCCATACAGTCCCACATGGTTTCGATCCACTCTCCGCATAACACTCGGAAGACAATAAGGAAAGAGTGAAAGAAGTCGTTCATGTGCCAACGGGGCAGCTCACAATCCTGAGCGATCTTGCACACACAGTCCTTGTAGCTCTTCCCAAACAACTGCATGCCGACAACAGCAAAGATAAAGACAATGATGGCCAACACCAGGGTCAGGTTCCCCAAAGCTCCGACTGAATTACCGATGATCTTTATCAGCATGTTGAGAGTGGGCCATGACTTAGCCAACTTGAACACTCTCAGCTGTTTAAAGAGACAATAAGGTGGATTAGAAATCACAGGAACATTCAATATTACTCTTTCAATTTGTGTGTGTGCTATTAAAAACAAAGAGTAACTTCACTTAACAGTGTTGCCACTGATTCATTATGTTTTATTCACTAACCACCCACAGTCCAGTTTAACCGGAGGCTGAATGCATTAAACGAATGCTGATTAAATAAAAATAACTGTCATTCTTTTCAGTTCACACACGCCTCCAAGTGAATTAGGCTTATTATACTCACTATCTGCAATGCAATTAAAAAATGTGCCATTACCGTTTGTGGAAAGAAGGTACTAAATAGATTTTTTTTTTGGATAGCTGTGTGTTTACACATTTTTTAATGGTATTGGAAGCTGTAATTTACTAAATCATAATAAAATACAGAAAAACTATAAGTGACATACTGTATATGTTTATGGAGACTTTATGGAGGCCCGATCCCAATTCTACCCCTTAGCCCTTCCCCTTACCCCTACCCCTCGTTTCGCGCATTTACGTCAAGGGGTAGGGGTGTTCCAATTCTCTTATTCTCTTTAGCTTGAGGGTGTAGGGCTAAGGGGAAGGGGTAAATAGTCCTTTGAACAAAGATTTTTCAAGACCACACTCAAAACCAAGGGGTAAGAAAATTTCCCAGAATCCACCAGCCACAACGACAGTATTGCTGAACCCGGAAAATCCACAAACTAGTTTTTTTTTTGTCATTATTATGAATTTTTACAGCAAACAAACACTTTTCAATATATTCATAACCGCATTCGTGTTTTACCGTCATGCTTTAAAAAAAACCCGCTAAATTTCTATAATCTATAATCCATAATCATAACTCCTGTATAGCAGTCCCACAACATTCTGACACTCAATGACACTCAAATACCCTGTCAGAAAAGTCTAGTGGCTGAGAAAGAGCTTTTTACAGTGTCTGCTATAATGTTAGTGTTGTTTTTGTGTGTTTACATGAATATGGCCACTGTGAAATACACAGTATAGTTAAGATCTTATTGCCACATTAGATCGTTACGATATCATAATATATGCCTTCAGTGATTTCCTGAAGATAAACACCAAACAATAACAAAACTGGAATAACTACAGCAGTCGTGATCGTCTGATCTTATATGAAGCAAGAGATTGTGATGACATCTGATGACGTGTGCAGGTGCTGTCCCAATTCAAAGGGGTACATTTTGAAGCCCTTCCCCTTAAACCTTGGTTGTAAGGGACAAGAGGAAGGAGTACAAAAACAGAATTGGGATTGGGCCTAAATCATCAATATTTCCAGAAATTTCATTTTGCATGATATTGGCATTGAATAAAAAACATACTCAGGAGATGTGTGGCTTTGAACCTGTTACTCTTCTGTATTGCTCCAGGACTAACTTCATATATTTATGAAATATTAAAATGTTTAGTGTTTAGTTCTGTTTTATGATAACTTTAATGACTGATTTTGTACTTGATTGCTTAAATGATGCAATAACATATGCTAACATATAGAAGTTTGGAAGCAATAAAAATGTTTACCAATCGGAATGATCGCAGCACAGAAAGACCTTCCACATTGGCCAAGCCCAACTCCATCAAACTCAAGCTCACAATAAAGCCATCAAATATATTCCAGCCCTCCTGGAAGTAGTAGTATGGGTCCATTGCAACCAGTTTGGCAAACATTTCGGCAGTGAAGATTCCAGTAAACACCTGGAGGGGAAATAAATTAAGAAGGTTGGATGAACTGCTGTCACATAGACTACTTTGAGACAGAGTGAACTGCTAAAAACTGAAATATTTTAATGCATTTCATATAAACAAGTACCAATTTTCAATAATACAATACAACACATTGTGACACAACATTTCAAAGTGCAGCAAATAATCAATCATTTCAATCAAATGCTTGAAGGCTTTAAAATGCTATTGATTTTCAAGCATACACATCTTCACATTTTAATTTGGTCTACGATATGCCCAATACATTGATTGAAGCGGATCTGATTCCTCCTAGGGCTATTGTTTATTAACTCTTAACAGTAAGGCTTTATTTGTTAACATTAGTTAATTCAACTAAACTGACAATGAAAACTGCTTATAAAGCATGTTTTAATCTTAGGTGATGTTAATTAATTAGTTACTGTTAAATAGCACTGTGTACTGTTACACAGTACTCGGCAAAGGCAAAATAATCAGGAAAAAAATAAGCTGTCTTTATTTTTTTAATAAAAAAGTTGCTTTACTATAGTTTATGACAGAAACTATATGTAATGCCCATGGTGTGATTTATGCATGTGATGTATGCAATAGTTTTATATTAGTTTATATTGGTTACATGGTTCATATTGCACTCTCTTGCTCTCTCGTTAACATGCTTAAATATTTGTGCTACGTGACATCCGATCTGTGCCACATGGGAGAAAAAAAAACGGAATTGAGTCACTTGAACCATGCAGTGTAAATGCAGCCTTAGTTACTCTGAACATTTACATAAAATACAGCAATACACAAAAACAGAGTTTATTATTAAGAGTATGATAGTTTTATGTCAATATTGTATATTTTACTATTATTAACATATATTCAAAACATTTCAGATATTGTTTTAACAAGAACATTTGACTTATTGAATTCTCATTTACACAATAACTGCGTTTTCAAGAGTTCACACTTAGCTGATGATTGATAATAAAGCTTGTTTGGCGTGCTGTAAGCTTATAAGATCCTCAAGCCCTGGACTCCCTCCCGTTGCAAGGCGAGAGGGGAGTTTGAGCTCAGGTAGATCTCGATGAATCCTCCGTCTGCTTATTGTAGCTAAGTATCGGATATGGATGCTGAGAAGGTGTACTCAGAGTTTGGCTAAAATATTTTGGACTAATTGTTTAGGGTGCTTGTTTTTGAACTGTGGGAGGAAACTGGAGGACCCGGGGGAAACCCACACAATCACAGGGAGAACGAGCAAAACTCTGCACAGAAATGTCGCCTGGTTTGGAAGGGAATTAAACCAGGGGCATTCTTGCTGTGACGCAACAGCGCTAATCACTGGCCACCGTGTCGCTCGTTTGAAAGGAGGGAAAAAAGGGTTGGGTGGGGGGGGTTTCTTCAAGACGAAGATATTGAGATGAGAAAAGTCTGGTTATTTATAATGAGTTAAGGATCGTCTGATAGGATAATTAGTCATTAGCTAAAGTTGCAACAGCTGTGAACAATCATAAGCACATGATCCTCTCAAATCTTGTTTATAAATAATCTTCACTTATGAACCTGAAAATGGCAAACTTTGAAAACAAAAGTGTAAATTTCTGAGAATCGTTTCCATGTGCACTGCAAAAACCTGATTTCGTATTATCAGTAATGTCATGCAAAACACAAAAGGAAAAAAGTTGTTGAATAAAAAACGGATTTATAAAATCATTCCGATATCAGTGAACTGTGACCTGCATCTTATCTATCACACACCAGCTCGTTCTTGTCAGTGCATGACACCAAACATCACCCCAATCCTGGCCAACCCATTCACAATGACTCCCTGACAAATGTGCCACACGACACTGTGACGTTCAAAGTGTCAAACAGATCATCCTGCTGTCACAGCTGAAGGGTTCGGTTAATCACCCAGCAGGCGGCTGAACTGGGGGAGGGTACAAGGTGGCCTTGACTCCAGGAGGCCTGGCGAATGTCTGAACGTGACTCACGCTGCCGCCTGCACAGCTACGACCTGCTCCGTCCCAATACAACCCCTGCTACCATGACAACAGAGCGATCATAGGTGTACTAAAGCAGCTGAAATACTTGCATCATTATATCATCATGTCAGCGGGGCAGAAATTTCATTGAGAGAGGCCTCACTAGTACGCACATGTGGTCATGTGTCTCGGAAAATCATGATTTGTGATTGCACTCACGGTGAGAATTTATGATGCCAGTCTCGGCATCACTTTGGAACGTAATATAAAAAGCAACTAGATTCAGGAGTGGGATGGATTATCTGCTTCTTTCTGCGTAATTTTACAAGCCTTTTTATACTAGTTCAAGGTTCGTGTACAGGTTCGAGCTCCAAAGCTGTGAAACCGCCACCATTTTAGAGCTGCTCATCGATTAGGCTACATGAAATATTTATGCTGGCTCTGCACCACCACACTCAGCCGGTAGCTTAGCACTGTCTCTACGCCAGGCACAAAAATGGCTTTGAGTGTTCCAACGGCGTCCCTGCAGAGACTACAAAAATATATGCCATGGGGGAGGGCCATTTTATCAAGCAACCAAAGAATTCTTCATATTTAAATTAAAAGGCTGTCAGAAAATAAAAAGCTTTCTCTGGAATGGCTGTGTAGAGTTCTCACCAGGTTTCCGACAGACAGCACATGCTCAAATTGCGGCGTCATCGGGTAATGCTCCATGGCCATGAAGAGAGTATTCAGCACAATGCAAATGGTGATAGCCAGGTCCACAAAAGGGTCCATTACAATCAGGTTCACAATCTCCTTTATCGACATCCATAGAGGGCCACACTCCCAGATAAGAAACGTGTTGGCGAATTTGTACCAGCAGGGTGGACATTTCCTCTGAGACTCTTCCAGTTCTGTAAAATAAAGAATATATTTTAATAATCAGTGCAAATTGAATTTGAAAAAGAGGCCGTTTATTAAAAGGGCTATGGACTGATTTATGTCATAGACACTAGACGTATTTGACAAGAAGAGTCTAAATGATGTAGTATTGACCTTATTCTTCAATAAGTAAGTGCGATCGTGATTGCGGTTCAGTTTCCAATATAAGAAATGACTAGCAATAATAGAACTACTTGCTCTACAAACAAGTGTTTACATGACTATACAGACAAAGCAAAATAAGATAATAAGAACATATCAGTTTGCAACATCAAGCAGCATAACAAGCTGTTTTGAAGTAAAAGAGACCGGAAGCCTTGAGCCAAAAAGATTCGAATTGCTGCGCCTGCTTGTACAGAAAGAATAAGGTGAATACACACACTGTCATAATGAAAAAGAAAGGTTCTGTGAGCATATCAGGGCACTGAATCACATTCAGACTCTTGAATGTTGTGTCTATGAGGGCCATCATGAGAAATAAGCTGTAGTTTACATCCCTGACACTGGTATAACTAATAACAAGGGTTTTTGGCATCTACATATTGTCCATTTCAATGAATAATTTTCTTTTCAAAGTCATTGTTTCCTCACCTTGGTGTTTTTCTAATACTGAATATCTTTTCCACAAAAAAAAAAGTCCAACTTTCATATCTCTTTAAGCTTTTTAAAATGATTAGATAAAACAATATCAAACTAATGATATAACAATGATTTGCAAAAAAATTTAAAAATGATAATTATTGAGAGGTTTCACATGTCATCACAAGATTAGCCTGGCAGGCAAAACATTACTCCCGCTGACCACCAAGTCATAGGCTAAGTAAATTCTCTCTTTTTTGCCAAAAAGCTGGATGATTGCTTAGCGTTAAGGTTTAGCATTACTAACCGACAAGGAGACACATCTGAGCTGTGCTTCTAGATATTACCTTTAGAAAAAGAACAATCAGAAATTTATGGATTTGTGCCAAATGGTAGCAACATTGACAATCCATAACAATCCATGCTACCTATAACTGTCAGTGCGTTTGTATGCTTTTTATACAGTTTCTATTCTTATTTGCAGTTCAATCGCAATTAAAGTATAAATTGAAAATAAAAGAAACTGACACCAAATATAAAAGCAGACCCTTACATGCTATAATGCTATCACTAATGACTAAATCGCTGAGGAATATCCAAAAGATAATGTTAGATGTAAGAATCGGAGCTCTGACAGGGACATGCCTGTTTTAAATGACTGAAAAATGGTACAGTGGTACAATATACAGTATATGAATCGAAAGGGCCCACAATTTACAGCTGATATGTGATACAAATATTTATAGCTTAAAACAAATATAAATATGACCGGTTTGTGCTGCATTTCTATGTAGATCCCAGTGCAGCCCATTATTTTTTTGCCCACCAGGTCTCTACAGTATCAATACACATTTTTTAAGATGCACTTTGATTTGACGCTATTTACATCTTCATTGATTGATGTTCTACAGAGTTGAAATTAAACAAAATCATATTGCAGAATTATATGAAATACTGATATATGTTGTATCGCTGGCTAAGAATATCGATCAATATATTATTGTGTCAGGACAAAATGTTCAGTTTACACTTCACACGGGACAATTCTGGGATACTTTTGGGTCTTTCTTTAGAAAGATGAATGCAATTCAATGCAGTATATTTTATTAAAAACTGTTTTTAAAAAAATAGTTTTGTGCAACAAAAGGAGAGAGAATATAAAAAAATAAGAATTGAACATGCTGAATCTGCATTTGTCTGGCTCTTGAATGTCTAAGAAGTGGCATATTGTTAAGTAGTGACTGTTGGTAGAGTGTGAATTGGCCTTTATGTTATGTGGACATACCTTCAACCAATGTGTTGGTTAACGCACTCATCACGCTGTTTGCTCGCTCCTTGCGCCCGAATGATGTGTTAAGCTGCTCTACGGAAACCATGAGAGAGCCTGAGAGTTTCTTCTTAATTTCAAGATCAGTGGTCGGCTGTCAGGAGGAAAACAATTAGGTTAAACAGACCCATCATAACATAATACAGTGCAGCTGGAAGAAAAAATCTGCAATACAAAGCTAGTTGGTTAGAAGGTTGGTTAGAAGAAGCACAACAGTTGATACAATTTATAGGTTTGTTCAATAGGAACCACTTGAATGCATTGAAGCAGAAACATGCTGGGCTGTCAGTAAGAGAGAAGGTAGGGTGGAGATAAATGCTAAATTGTCATTACCATTTGTGTCATACATATTACCAATATTAGAGATTGGCGATATCTTATTTTTGAAATATACCAATACAAATTGTACCCACGATAAGAATTAGAAAACAGAGGAATTTGCTAACATCAGTCCAGTGTTTAAAAATCAAGCAAACAAGATTTGCTAATATTATATACGTGAACAGTAGTCGTCTATTATCATTGGATTATAAATATATATTATTCTTAAAAAAAAAAAATACCCAAAGATATGGTTTATTGTATGCAGATTTGATCAGTTTATACATTCTTTGCTTTTATTCGTCTTCTTTTTCTTTAGCTACAGAAATATTTGATGTCTTTACTTCCTCTTTGCGTCCAGTATGAATGAAACAGATATTACATTACATGTGTGCCTTAATGTCTTTCTCTAAAGATACTGTACATATCTTTAATGTCTCTCAGTGCTAACAGTACATCTGAATTATTGTCACTGACGAATGGTGTTATAGAAGTTCATATCGCCCATTGCTAACCAACAAGAACATGAATAACATGCTGAACATTATTAAAATGCTCAAGGATAGAGAATCAAAAAGATTTGCCCTCATACGGACATTTAAATAGTAAAGCATTTGTTTTACAGTATAATCTACGCTTTACATATCTACAATGCTGAAAAGGCTATGTAAACCAGTGATGGTCCTCCGCTCCCTTCCTCCTCTCATCTGAAGCCCCTGCATCTCCAGCTTTTAGGAGATCCAGTCAGCATGCATCAGCATGCATTCAATCAAAGAAGTCAAGAGAGAAAAAGAGTAAATATCATGATCCATTAACCTCATGCTTAAGATCTGAAGCTGTACCTTACCTCTATACAATCCATAAAAGCTAGCAGACTACCATGCTAACTACAAAACTTCAACTAAAATTACAATATTGAGCAACGGTGCTGACTGTCTAAATAATACATGCATACACTACGATGAAGGAATTATATAGGAAATGTATATACAGTAAATATATGGTGGAAAGATGAAGAAAAAATATGAAAAAAGAACTAAAGCCTGGAGGGTGGATGTGGTGGCCTCATTTCATGGTTAATTCACCTTTACATGAATATAAACTGAAATACAGATACATACACTGAGTTAAAATTTACTTGAAAAAGAGCACTTTATTATCAAGTAAATGAAATGAGGGGAAAAAAATAAGGATAGACTTTGCTGGTGGGATGAATGTGTAATGAGATGATGCAATGAATACTAAATTGCGGCTACTAAGACATAGACTACTGTTAAAAATCTTGGTGCCATGAAGATCTTTTGAAACATAATTCATACTTTTTGTTCAGCAAGGATGCATTCCGTTGATCAAAATGGACAGTTTATAATGCCACAAAAGATTTCAATTAGATTCTTTTTACTTTCTATTGACCCACAGAAATATCAACTAGTAAATCTGCTTTCAACACTGATGCTAACTGTATTTTCAGCAACAAATCAGCACAAAGGAATGATTTCTACAGTATAACGTATTGTGAAAAAAATAAATTTTTAAAATAGTTTTTGTCTCTTTTTCTTTTAATTAAACAATTGTATTTGTATTGCTTAAAGGTGATTCATTAACTGAATTTCTTCTGTTGAGTGTGATATGCCCTGCATGCTAATAAAGCATTGTTTGAGAAGTAGATGAAGCTGATAGAAATGCAAAGGCCTGATGGTCTAAACTTAACTCGGCAGTTAAACTTCCTGACAGCAGAAATGTGTTTGAAAGTCTTATGCTTTTAATGCTGTGCAGAGAATTTCGAGAGAAAGAGGAAGTATGTATGGGTGCGGCCAATGGAGGACTTGAGAAGGCTTGACAAGTGACAAACTCTACTAAACTCCACCTGTTTATATCAGCTAGGTATAAAAGCGCGAATCAGGAAATGAAATTTATTGCGCACCTCTGAATATAACTCTTGCGTTGCATTGGGGATACCAGAGTTCTGTGAATAGAACTATTCACTTTGTATCCAATAAACTACTAAGATTTTTAACATTGAAGAAAAACTGCTCCTGACCTTTTTTATTGAACATGCATGAAATTGATTAGATTTTCCAACAATTTAGCACTAAAAACAGAAGAAATGACTAACGAAAAACAGGAACAAATTACATTTTTAAGTAGTTTAAGTGTACAGTTTATAATGCAATACAATTTTACTAAATCTTTGCTGTGCTTTTGATCAAATGAATGCAGTCTTCAAAAAATATATATGTAAAACATCTTACAAAACTCCAAACTTTGCAACAGTAGTGTAGGAAACAGCTAAATCTTAGCAGTTTATTTAGTGAGATCTATCTATACGGTAGTAAGCTAATTTTAAACTAGCATAGGAAGGCAGCATATCACACAGGCTTTGAGAGCAGTCCTCAACTGAAAGGCAGCTACTTTTAGAGCAAAGTCAAAATAACCATTACACGAATGCATCAGAAAGAGAAAGAGCCAAACAGAGAGAGAAAGAGAGCCACGATTCAGAGATAGATAATGCCCATGCCTAGACTGATCTACTCTTAGACTTCCTTACGCTGTCATCAGTGGCTGCCTTATCTATTATCACCTCAGGCAGAAGGCGTCCGCCAGGCCCCGGCCCAATGAGAGACACCACTCCATTGCAATCCACTGTGCTGTTGCGCTTGCCGTAGAAGCCTGTGTAGCTGCTGCGACGCTGAGGGCTTAGGAAGGAGTCGCGCCGCTCGTCGTACTCCTCAACCGTGCTGTGCTCATCATCTGCAAACTCGTTCTCAGAGCCTCCGTCTTTACAGCGGCTGAAGATGCTGCTCTTACTGTTGCGCCTCGAAGGGAATGGAGAGCCTGGGATGCTGAGCAAAGACTGGAGGCAGAAAAAAAACAGAGACAAGATTTTTAAAATCTTAAATGCCAAATGGGATGAATTTCTGCCACATTTTCTGTAGTAAAACATACTATCTGTATTTAGCTGTTTGCTTGCACGGTGGCTCTGAATTGTCAAAACATCTCTCAAAACGGGTTTTCGGTCATTGCATATTTGTACATACAGTATGTATATTACTGTAACACGCGTATTCAAGAACATTTCATCTGGTTTCAGTTTTTAGTTCTTTCATTTTCATTATATTTAAAATATATTTATTTTACTTGTTTGTTAATTAAATCCCATTTTGTTATTTAACCTATTATTTTTATGCAACATTCAAGTTGCATGTTAATTTGCTATGCAAAGAATAGGAAGATAATCACCTTGCAATTTTTATAAATCACTGTTTGTTTTTTCTATTCAGGCCATTCAGTTCATAAGATCGGTTCAAACTTTTATGAAGTTTTAAAAATAAAATCAGTTGTTCGCTGTATGAAAATATAACATTTTGAAATATTTATATTTATCGGCCTATATATATCGATTATTGGCCTCCAAATCTAAAGAGTTATTGGTTATTGATAGGAAATTCAATCTGGTTGCTTCATCATAATTAATATACAATTAATTGCGGTCTACAATTGCAAGATATTATAAGAATTTTTAGTTTTTTTTTCATTGTATTTTTTATTTGATAAATCTACATGTTTTCTGGCACTTTAAATCAAATTTATTAGTAATTTAGATTAGACAAAAAAGTTAAATGTACATTAATTGTATGTAATATTAATATTTTATATATACAATTATGGTGACATGGATAAATAAATAATGAATTATTCAAATAAAATTTGCATAAAACAAATAAAATACTTAATTCAATACTTTTGAATGTTGATTGTCTATAACAGGCTATTAGATTAAAAGAAGACATTATTATATTACATTCATGGTGACAAGTTAAATAAAAAAAAACTGAATGTAATAAATATATAATACATAGTACATATTGTAGTTTATATAATATTTTATTACAATATTGTTTGAATGCTGTTTGCCAACAAATCTTAAATCTACAAAAGCATGACGATATACTCTACAGATGCTATTGTTTTACCTGGTTCATTATGGAACTCCTTCGGCCCAAACGGTTATCAGGGAAACGAAATCTCCTTCTGCTTCCATCGTCTGATTCGGATTTGACAAACTTCTCGCTGTCCCCTTTCTCTTTGTCCTGCTCTTTCTGCCGCCACTTCTTCTTGCGGTTGCGTCTCTCTTTGGCACTCTTGGAGCTCAGTTTAGACATCTCAGACGAGCTGCAGGACAAATTCCCTTCTCCATCTCCATCATCCTCCACCACGTCCTCAGACACTGTTCCCGCTGACGTCGCCATTGCATTTGCCTGCCATTACATCATTTAGATTAATACATTTCACTTCTGATCCTTTTAAAGTCACAAAATGAGAAATTATTTAGTCTAATATTATAATCCAGACTCTGTCAAGAGTGAATAATAAAATACAAACCAACCCTCTAAATAGGCAGACAAACATGATATTGTAATTATTATCATCACTCTTATTATCAGCATTAAGGTGCAAAATGTATCAGTTTAATTTAAGAAATTTGTTGGGCTTTTTTGCTTAAAATTATAAAGTTTTTAAGCATGTAATATTTTAAGTATAATGTTAAGAAAACATCCAAAATACATGATTTCTTTTATTACATTGTTAATATTGGTGTCTAGATTTCAATTAAAATACGTATTTTCAAAGTCCATTTTCAAATACCAAACTTCACAGTTTTATTAGGGACCGAGCACCTACGGTGCATAGGCCCAATTGGAATTGCTCAGTTTATTCTTCTCCTTCTTTATCTTCTTCTCTAGAATGACTTGCATTTTTGAGGGTCTAAACATGCTCAAAAACGCACAAAAATTTGCCTCCTATGCACATTTGGCGGTGAAGCCCCTAAACTACGTTTCATGCCCACATACAAATATTGGCACACACATAAACATGCCAATACCTACAAAAAAGTCTCAAACCCAACAGGAAGTCAGATATTTTTAACTTTCTTTGCCAAAAAAAGTGCAGTTTTTCCAGGCATTGTATTTTATCAAAGTCCTTCTAGGGATTTTAACAGATCAACACCAAATTTGGGTATTCTCATTTAAATTCAATTGGCAATGTGAAATTGCGAAGATCTAGAGTTTTCATCAAAGGGCGTGTTCGTGGCGTCCTCACAAACTTTGATGTTTTGCCACGAAACAGAAAGTTGTTGTCCACACGTTTAATAACAATCCTGACCTAAACAAGTTTCCATGTCAATATCCAGTTACAGTTACAGCACCACCTGCTGGCAAATGACATGTTTTACAGTGTAACAAACTCCTAAAAATGTTATCATTATGAATCAGTTCCATTTGTCTAATCCAAAGGCCTGTGCGATGTTAAATTGTGAAGATCTAGAGTTTTTGATGAAGGGCATGTCTATGGCGGACTGACAAAGTTCAGTGTTTTGCCATGGAAGAGGAAGTACTTAGACACACAATGTCCGATCTGCCCAAAATGTTTTATAAGATTCCCTTCCTCAAGACATCTAAATTCGAATATTAAGTTATAGCCATAGTGCCACTTGCCGATAGAAGGAAGTTTGGCAGAAATCTGTGAGTTTCTTAGGTTTTTTTTAACATCTGCTTAAATTATTATTGTCCATTGTTCTCTTTCATCCTAAGGTCACCAGGCGGCAGTGAGCCCAGGTGTGAGGTCTCTTTCATCGATGCTTGCAGCCTTGTTTAAGATCTGTTTTCTGCAGGTTTTACTGAGGAATAAGTTCATTTGTAATTTGCCTAATTATATACAATTTTTTTTTTTCTACAAAACTTCTGCATGTAATGTTTTGGGAGTGATAAATAGTCATTCCCTAAATTTCGTCAATTAAATTCTCTGACTCTAACATGTAAAAAAAGGAAAAAAAAGAAAAGAAAATGAAAAAAGAAACAAGAGTTTAGAAATTCTGAACCAGACCTGATTTTTGTGCTAAAAATGTATGCACATTAGTGCACATATTATGAAATAATGCTTCATCTGCATATTTAAATATAAGGTTTTAGTAAACATGTAATACAAAAAAGATTTATTGTGGTCTGTATTTATAAAAAGTGGGAAATATGGTGAAAATATTATTATTTATACTAAATGTACTACAATATACTAATTAAAACAATATACTATGTTCTTTTACTCGCTTCACCTGCAGCATCTTGCCTTAAAGTCGACAATTATAAACCAGAATTGGTCATTACTCAATAATAAAACACAATCCAACCATCCAATACAGAAAGCAAACATGATATACTAATTATTATCACCCTTATTATCGGCATTAAAGCACTGCCTGACCTGTGCGTCCTCCTGCTGTTTCTTCAGCTGTTCCAGCATGGCTTTAAACTCCGCCTCCTTTCGCTCCGCCTCCTCCATGGTGGCCTGGTTCTGCTCCTCATATGCCATGGCCACCACAGCCAGAATCAGATTCACAAGATAGAAGGAGCCCACAAAGATGACCAGCACAAAGAAAATCATGTAGGTCTTCCCTGCTGCTCTCAGTGTCTGTGGACGAAGCACAATATCTTTTATTACACAGCAGGATTGTTGTGGAAAATGATGATCATTTTCAAAACCTCATAAACCCAATATGCATGCAAGCAGATCAATTGTAGACATGGTTGTAGAGATGAAACTCGCTGGAAGAAATGCAAATGTCAAATCATTTTTCTGAGCCTCAGCTGCATCTGTTTGACCTACTTGTGCGTATAATGTGAATACACATGCATATATTCACACATACATGCATGGGTTTTATTAAACAGACTGGCTCAAGGCACTGGCACCCTGAGATGCTGGTGCACAAACAGAAAGACAGATTAGAAAAAAATTAAATAGAACAGATGGGTGACCTGTAATTTCATGCTTTTTAACAGTACAGCTGGTTCGCCTGGCAAAATAATGGCAAACTGCTAAGCCTAACTTATGAGGAGTGGCAATTCTTCTCATCAGCTTTAAAAGAACTGCAATTACCTTTCTTCTAGGAACACAACACATTATGTTGCTGAATGCAGGGTGTATACGATTCAGTCCATTCAAATTTTGAGTGTTAAATTAACAACTATTAGACAAATAATTAATATTTAACTGAATACAAATTCCAATTTCAATTTACAGTTAAAGGCAGAATTATTAGCCCTCCTGTGAACCTGTGATAATATGAATTATTTCCAGAGTGCTGTTTAACAAAAAGATTTGTTTTTAGCACATTGTTATAATAACGGGGGCGAGGCAGTGGCGCAGTGGGTAGTTCGCCTCACAGCAAGAAGGTCGCTGGGTCGCTGGTTCGAACCTCGGCTCAGTTGGCATTTCTGTGTAGAGTTTGCATGTTCTCCCTGCTTTCGCGTGGGTTTCCTCCGGGTGCTCCGGTTTCCCCCACAGTCCAAAGACATGTGGTACAGGTGAATTGGGTTGGCTAAATTGTCCGTAGTGTATGAGAGTGTGTATGTGTAGATGTTTCCCAGAGATGCGGCTGGAAGGGCGTCCGCTACGTAAAAACTTGCTGGATAAGTTGGCGGTTCATTCGGCTGTGGTGACCCCGGATTAATAAAGGGACTAAGCCGACAAGAAAATAAATAAATGAATGTTTTAATAACTAGTTTTAATTTGTAATAGCTAATTATTTTGTCTTTACCATGTGATGATAGGTCATAATATTTTACTAATTATTTTGCAATATAATATTCGTTATATATTTGTTTTAAAGTTCAAATTAAAGACTTGACTGAATTAATTAGTCTAACTAAGCAAGTTAGGTTATTTAGGCAAGTCATTGGACAACAGTGGTTTGTTCTGTATTCAATATTAAAAAAGAAGAGGGCTAAATAATAATGACCTTATAAGTGATTTAAAAAAATAAAACTGCTAACATTCTTGCCAAACTAAAAGATGTAAGACTTTCTTTCCAGAAGCAAAAATATAATAGGAAATACTGTAAAGATCTCCTTGCTCTGTTAAAAAGCACTCGGGATTTTTTTTTTTTATTTAAGGAATTAAAGTTTCACAAGAGGACCAATAATTTTGCCATTACCAGTATAAATGTATAATATAAATAACAGTATAAAGTATTTCTAAGCATAAATAATAACAACTTGTAATTTATAAGTATAAATAATTAACTGAAAACCTGATATTGTATAATAGATAATCAATCAGTATTATAAAATACAACACAATACAATATATAACATACTTTTGTAAAATAGCATAATAATACAACATAAGAAAACTAATTATTACTTATTTATAATTATTAGTTTTTTGTTTCTTGAAAAAACGAACATTAAAATTGTATCTATGATTTTTTAAAATGCTAAAATTGTATGTTTAAAGTGTATTTTTATTTAGTTCAAGTCAAAATTATAAGCCCTGCTATTTTTATTTTTCAAATTTTTCCCAAATGCTGTTTAGCAGTGCAAGGAATTTTTCACGGTATTTCCTATAATATTTTTTTCTTCTGAAGAAAGTCTTTTGTTTTATTTTGGCTAGAATAAAAGCAGTTTTTAATTTTTTAAAAAACATTTTAAGATCAATATTATTAGATGCCTTAAGCAATATTTTTTTTGATTGGCTACAGAGCAAACCACTGTTGTACGATGACTTGTCTAATTACCCTAACTTGCCTAATTAACCTAGTTAAGCCTTAAATTGCACTTTAAGCTGAATACATATCTTGAAAACTATCTAGTAAAATATTCTGTACTGTCATCATGGCATAGATCAAATAAATCCGTTATTAGAAATTAGTTATTACAACTAATATGTTTAGAAATTTGTTGACAATCTTCTCTCCTTTAAACTGAAATTGCAGAAAAAACATAGAGGGGGGTTGATAATTCAGGCTATTAATTCTGACTTCAACAGTATATTATTTTACAATTACACTAGAACAGATGGGATGAGAAATCCACCTGAAAAGGACATCACAAACATTGCTGCTTGTAGCTCCTTTAATTGGCTCTTTATGACTTGATGCAACTACAGCATGTAATGTAACAAGCTCCAGGGACTTTAAATAAAATATTTAATTAGTAACGAGGGGATTCTAAATGAAATTACATTCGGTACATTAATGCTGCCAAGGCAGGACAGTTAATCAGATTATATGAAAGCTGAGGTGAACAACATTGAGTGTAGATGCCTATACTTGTACACAAATGCTTTATTTAGCCTTTTGCTATTTAGACTTTTAGCTGTCCATTACTGCTGCTGATCCCAGAGGGGTCAGACTCTGTGTTTGTGCACATCCTGCAAAACAATGGCTGTCTGCAGAAGTGAATATACTGCGGCTTATCCTAAACAAATGAGTTAAAGGTGAGTTGGGCATGAGTTAAAGGTGTGATTAACAACAGGGCTGCACAATACACTGCCTGACAAAAGTATTGTCGTTGATTCCAGTTGCAAGAGCAACAAGTAATTACTTGACTTCTAGTCATTTGGAAAAGTGGCAGAAGGAAGATTTTTCAGATGAATCATCTGTTGAACTGTTAATCATCACAAATACAGCAGAAGACCTATTGGAACCCCCATGGACCCAAGATTCTCACAGAAATCAGTCATGTTTGGTGAAGGAAAAATCATGGTTTGGTGTTACATTCAGTATGAGGATGTGTGAGAGATCTGCAGAGTGGATGGCTCCAGGATTGGCCAGCCCAGTCACAAGATATAAACATTACTGAGCTTGTGTGGGGTAAGATAATGGAGAAGGCATTAAAGATAAATTAAAAGAGTCTTGATGAACTCTCAGAGTCCTGCAAGAACACTTTCTTTGCCATTCCAGATGACTTTATTAATAAGTTATTTGAGTCATTGCCATAATGTATGGATGCAGTCCTCCAAGCTCATGGGAGTCATACACAATATTAAATAATTTTTTCCTCTGCACCATGACTTTATATTCTATACTGTACATTATTTCTGCTAAGTGACAAGACTTTTGTCAACACAAACTCAGACCTTACAGTCATAATTAAATAATTAAAAATCAAGGCATAATCATATTTTATTTAGGTAAAATAAGCGTACTCTAGAGGCTTGTCTCTTTCATATAAGCCACTTCTGATAACAAATGATCAACTAAAAGTCGAGTTATTATTTGTTGGTCCTAAAACTTGGATAGGCCACAAGACTTTTGTCAGGTAGTGTATATTGCAATATTATCATTGTTGCGTTAATAGTTTATGCAATATACGCATCTCAGCCATTTATTTTATGCATTGGTTGTCCAATCAGATGGGGCCTAACTAACTTTAACCCCCCCTTTCTCTATAATTGCTCTTCTGCTATTGGCTGGAGCATCACAAAGGTGAACCCAGAGTTGAATATAGATGCAAATGGCGGGAGTGGAGACATAAGACAGCAAAATGACAACAGCCAATCAGAGTCAGAATAACTGCTAAGGTTTTCTCCATAACCTTTTTTTTCTGAATTGGAATTAATTAGATCAAAAATATATCTTTTACCAGTTTATTTTAATATCACTAAATAAATAACTAATTTTAAAAACATAGCTTACAAAAATAGCAATTTTCTAAACAAATTCTTCATCGTAAGAAATATCATCACAATATTCAACAACAATATTGCATCTTTTTCTAGTATCTTGCAGCCCTAAATAACAATGTATATTATAGTATAAACAGGGTTTCTACAGTTATCATTGAGTCAAATTTAAGACTTTTAAAGACCATTATGAATGAAATCTATATACAATACACAAGTCTAAACACAAAGGACAAAAATTAAACCATAATTGGTCAACAGAGTTAATAAATAAACCTTTTGTTAAAACCTTTATTGAGATAAAATGTTAGTGATTGGAAGGGCGTTGGCCTGATTGGGTAGCTTTACATAGACATAGGAAAATAAAGACCTGTTAAAATGATTTAAGACATACAACACAATATTTCAGTCAATTTAGAACTTTAAGGCCTAAAATATTGTTTTTAATACTATTTAAGACCCCGCAGATATCCTGTATACAACTACTGTAAATGCAAAACTTTGTGACAATATCCCTAGCAATAGGCATTTAGAGAGGACTATATCCTTACATTTGTTTCCTTGTTTAAATGTAGCTGTAATAGTGATGAGTAATGAGTGAACTGGCCTTTAGTAGTTAGACAGAATCTCTCACATTTTATTTAAATATCTGCATTTCTGTTCAGAAGATGAACACAATTTTCATGCAATTGAAATGGCATGAATATGAGTATATTGAGTATATGAGTATTTTCATTTTGGAGTGAACTATTCCTTTAAGATTTCTGATATGCATAAAAAAAAAAAAATGGAACTTAAAGTGATGTAAGAGGGAAAAGAGACCCCGCCCTTACCAGCTGGTACAAGTTCTCCCAGAAGTCCTGCGTCATGAGGCGGAAGAGAGCCAGGAAAGCCCAGCCAAAACTGTCAAAGCTGGTGTAGCCATAGTTTGGATTACGGCCAGCCTTCATGCATGTGTAACCTTCAGGACAGCGACTGAGAGAGGAAGAGAGCACACGACCCATAATGACTTGGCATCACTCTATGAATTGCAAGACAATGCTTGTCAGAGGAGAATCTCAGTAAATGACTTCTGCCAAGCTTGATCTTTTTTCTACATATGAACGAACAAGAACAGACGTCTGATTCTTTTAAAGGGGCTCAAGGACCAGCCTTTTTGTTTATTCTGTATTGTTTTCTGAAGTTCACTTTAAAAGTTATCAATATTTTTTACATAAAAACATCAGAATTGAGACATAGTTGGCTATTTTTCTGTCTTTTTTAACCCTGCTTATCAGAACACACCGACATATGCGTGACAGATTGTACTCTGAAGTAAATACCCGCTGAAATGATTGGCTGACAGCTTGCATAATAATACATTTTTGAATGTTTGAAAGGACCAATGTAAATTTCTGCATTGTCAGCCTACATGTAACTGAACACAATGACTCACACTTGCGTAGAGCAACATTACCGACACGTCCAATATGATCGGCATAGCATTGTCTTACATTCAGTCTTTATAAAAATCCTGCGTCAAATTGTAGTTTTTTGGTTTGTTAACAAATCTACAGACGTCACCATTTCAAAACGGTCGGTCTGCCGCCATTGTTAACGCCGCCGCGGAGGTACCTACTGCGCGCCAGCAGCTTTTGTACTATGGGTTGCGATTTAACCATAGATTTTTAGCTTTGCCTTTTCACAATAGAATGGTGCTGTATGTGTACAGTACCTTATGTGATGTGTTCAATTAAAATATAATTTTGTTTGTTTGTTTTAGTTTTCTTAGTAATAAACAAGCTTTCACACTATACTGTATGTTTTAGAAAAGATACAATACATGGTGAGAAGTATAGCCCTAGGCTGCAAAAAATAAGCAAATATAAGAATTCAATTGTTTAGCCTTTATAGTGCCCTATTAAATTGCGTTTGTGTGAAAAGAATGTTTCGATTTCTTTGACCATCATGGCGATGGTATTACCTCAAATCCTAAACGTGGGCACACAGCAAGATATGAAAACTGCGGCACAGCGCACACTACAAAATAATTTTAAGGTATCGAGCCGATGGAGCACATCACCTGATTGCATTATTTATAACTTGCTTTATAAATAATTATTATTTATTATAGGATAGGTTACAAATATACATTTATATGTTTGTAAAAACAGACGTGATTCTCCTCAGCAATTCTTTTTATGCTTGCAGGACGTTTTCAAAGCCATGAAGGGAATAACTTGCTTTATCTACAGCCTACTAATAATTACTTAATAACTTTTGTTTTATACAATATAAAATAATAATAATAATAATAATAATAATAGACATTTTGCATGTTTGTCATAGCCTACTCTGACATGCAGGGAGATGATAACTCCATTTGTGCAATATGTCAATTGAAATCTCTCCATTTCACTGTGATGGCTGTGCTGTGTTTGACTGATAATAGCTTTTTGATTACTACACGTTTAAAAGCGAAATTGTTACCTGTTGCACATATGAGCATGGTGTAGAAAAATATAATTGAATGCACTGAATGGCAAATAACCACGGTACAAAGAAAAGAACTAAGTTATTGCTAATGCTGTTTATTGAGTTTTACCTTATTTTTGAATCAGTAGAAAGGCAACACAAAGGCTGTGTTTTCCACAATTTGCCAATTTTAGCTGTTTTAGACTAACAAGAAAGTTTTGAAACTTCTTAAAAGTTAAATAGCCTCTTAAATGTAGAACAAATGATGGGAATTTTGATTTCATAGTTCATGGGTCATTTAATAAAGAAGCATTGTGCTTTCCAAATGTATATAATTGATATGTTTTGAAAGAGAAGGCCAAACACTCACCCTGAATCAGAGCTGTTTCCACACAAAAGTGCATCCAACTGGTCTGGCAGGAAGTAGAAATTGGCTGATGACAAAAAGAGATGGAACATACAGTAGGTTACCTAGACAGGACAGTAAAATTCTGGCAAATAAAGAGAACATTGATATCTGATAAGTCGTAGATATTAAAATGAATGTATTTTATGGACTACAAGTCCTCTTTTTTATAATGTGAAATGTCTGCACCTTTTATTCCAAGTTAAATGATAATAATGTAATTAATGTCAACCATGTAAAATTTGTTTATAAAACATTTTCACACACACTGGTAGTATCAGTTTGACTGGAAATACATTTATTTAGGCTTGACATTAGAGAGAAATGTAGATTAAAGTGAATGCCCCTACAATTCCTGTTTGATTTATACTTTGTCTTTTTTTTACATTTTCCTTTCAATTCTATTGTTCTAAATACTTCAAAATATGTGTATAATATTTATGTTACTGTTGCTGTAAGCTTTATTGTTCCCTGTGTGGCGATTAAGACATTTTAATACTTTTTTTTTTATTATTATTATTACTGTCAGTAGACTACAAATTATACGCAGGAGCAACATATTTTTAAAAAATGGGGTACTTCAAAAGTTGATTGGGGTACTTTTAAGATTTATCAAAAGCTTGTTTGGCATGCTATCCCGGGAGAGAGCCCTGAGCTCAAGGGATCCTCGAGCCCAGGGAGAGCGAGAGGGGAGATTGAGCTCAGGTAGATCTAAATAAACTTTACATATTAATTTGTAAAAGCTAAAATTGTAATAAATTTGAATCATTTTACAAGGTAATACAAACGTCACAACATCAGAATGCTATATTATGTAATTTAAAAAAAAACTACAATTTATGTTGTGATATAAAAAAAAAATTAATGCCATCACTAGTATTTTGGGGGAAGGAGGGGGGGGGGAGTATTTGACCTTTACTACGACAGGACAGTAACTAGAAAAGAAGCAAAAATGAAAAGAGCAAAAGAAAGGGGGATGGGATCAGAAAGGGTTTGCAAGCTGGGACTCAAACTCAGGATGCCCGAAGCACAGTGGGGTTACATGTCAGAGAGCTGCAAACTAGGCTATTAGCACTGACATTCATTAGTATTATTACATTTGTGTAAATCTAACCACTAAACACCAGCACAAGTAATTCAAAACCTGAAGACTAAACACTGTTGTTTGTGAGTATGCCAAAGTAAATAGAAGCTTACTTTCATTCAAGATGTACTCGTCCCAGTTGAATGCACGGCTGCCATTGACATCTGGGAACATTTCTGTGATGTTGATGGGCCAGATGACACACTTCTGCCGCAGATTCCCCATGAAGAGCTGCAGACCAATGAGGGCAAAGACACTGAGGCAGAACACGGTGAGGATCATCACATCTGACAGCTTCTTCACAGACTGGATCAAAGCGCCAACAATGGTCTTCAGACCTATGAGATATCAAATATGCACACACACAGACACACACAAACACACAAAAGAGCACAGACAGTTGCATGTGTGCTCAAGTCCTAAAAGTGTATGAAAGGAATCTCAAGGCATGATGTGAGGAACTTACATTTTTTGTACTAGGTTTTAGGGCTCAAGAAACACGGTATGGTATACTGTAATTACTGTATATCTGTGGTTGTCAACTGGTTTTTTGTATGAATGTTCTAACTGCAATTAACTTTTTTTCCACCTTGTCTATGCATTGTATGTGCATTCAAGTATTGAATAATATTAAATAAACAGATGCTCTTGCTAAAGGGCACAGGTGTCAAACTTAGTTCCTGGAGGGCCGCAGCTTTTTAGTTCCAACCCTAATTAAACACACCTGATCAAAGGAACTGAGTCCTTCAGGCTTGTTTACAGGTATGTGTGTTGAAGCAGGGTTGAAACCGCTTCTATAGGGGTTAGGATTAAGTTTTGGGAAGCAAAACATATAATTTATATATCAAAAGCATATTATTAAGTCAAAACTAGTTAATGCTGTTTTGTATTATCTTGCATGTGAGCAAACAAAATAAAGAAATGGGCAAAAAAAAAACATCTCATAGATCAGGGGTGCCCAAACTTTTTCCTTCAAGGGCCAAAAAGCAAACTTGTTTGAGGGGTGTGGGCCAAATATAGGGTAAGGTGAGGCTCTAAGGTAACTTTTTTTATTAGGAGCACTTGTTACTTGTAATACACTAGGGCTGCACAATATTGCAATATTTTGTTTTTCTGCAATATATATTGCAAAATAATCATACTTTCACAAAAGAATACATAAATTCCTCCACATGGAAAAGATTTATACATCTACACAAAACATAATAAACAATTTGCAAGTATAGATGAATACAAAAGAGCAAAACTAAAAATGAATCGTTTTTATGGTTTTCTGTGGAGTCCTACAACATTAAAGAACAGAAACTCAATATTAATCAAATGTAAAATAACAATGTATTGTATTCATTTTAAATACTTAATTACAATTAATCTTTTTTAAATCTAAATTTTAGAACAGCGGTGCCCAAACTTTTTCCTATAAAGGACCAAAAAGCAAAGTTGATTGAGGGCTGTGGGCCAAACTGTAAAATAAATTTAGCATGAGTAATTTTCTAATTTATTTGGAAATATTTAAAATTAACTATAAAATAATGCTTTTATTCATATTGACGAATGCAGTTTCATTTTTAACATTTTATAATGGACTTATTACAGTAAAACATAAACAATCCCATTTATAACACAAGTTCAATGCTGATTACACTAGTCAAGCTTACGTTGATTTGCAGGCAGATGTCTTATGCAGTTTGCTGACAGTATTTACATTTTTAAAGTCTGATTCATTTACAGTGTTTAATTGAATCATTTCATTTCAGTTTGCTTTTTTGTAGCTCAGCAATAAAACAAATGAAACAAAAGGTTACGTTAAATTTGAAATTATGATCTGTCAAAGGCATTCGCCTCAACCACCTCTCCACCATTCTCACTCTCTTTTCAGATGGGATGGCGGGCCAAATCAACTTTGGCCCACGGGCCCTACTTTGGGCATCTGTCATGGATCTTCTATTGTTAATATCAAATGCTAAGCATTATATCATACTCAAAAGTCATCTGTCACTTAGATGAAGCCAATTTCGACAGATGGCAACATGACCATGACGCATGATATTATCACATTATAATATCATGATATCATAAACTCATAAACATGACTTTTGGCTTAATGCATTGTGTGTGAAAAATAATTGTCTGCTGATTTACATGATGATGCAAATGTAAAATGCAACACCAGTTGAGTACCACTGATATGGATGCCTAAAGGCATGGGTAAAATTACCTCATCATTTACTCTCCCTTGTGTGGTTTCTTTCTTCTGTTCAACATTAAAAAAGATATATTTTTAAAAATGTTGGCTGATGGTACCAGTTCACTTCCATAGAATGCTATGAATATCAAAGGGTACCATCTACCACCAATCTTAAACTAACTTGTATTATGTTAAACGCAAGAAAGAAAATCAAAACAGTATAGGTAATAATGACAGAAATTTGACTTGCGAGTCATCTATCCCTATAAAGATGCTGACTTTGGCATTAATAGGAGTTTCAACTGTACATCCTTGTATTTGTTTATTTCAAATCATGCCTTGAATCCTTTTTTATAATCATAATGAAAACTCATAAATAAAAGAACCACAAAATACACTTCAGGCTTATTTACATAGATACTGCTTAGGAGCCATCCCTTCATTCAGACTATTCAGATTAATAATGTATCGTTTTACTAAAAATTGTCTTTAATAAGTACCTATAAAGGACAATACATCATTTCATAATACATACAAAACCAAAAACCTTTTTAAATGATTCCAAAAACAAAGTCTCACAGCATAACCTGGCTGCAAGCAATAAAGGGAGGACTCCCTTAAACAGTGAGTACAACCTGACATCCATTTGTCTATAAATACTGCAGCACAACCAGAGGGCCATGACATGGGGAGAATAAAGCAGGCAGGGACTAAAGGGGTGAAGTTTGCATGCAGGTCATTTCGGCTCGAAGGCTGATCAAAACAAGTCCAGTGTTAAAATCTTCCAGGGCTCCATCAGAAATGCTAAGTTACACTTCAAGAGAACTGCACTGACCCCTTCATAACCCCCTCCCAAAAACAGGAGAACTGCTTTACATTAAACATAGCAGTCTCTCATATGTGATGATGAAGGTTAGTATTGATTTGCTACAAACTTGTCACCCATAAACCCAACCAAAACATCTAACAATCTCCCAGGGCTCAGAGATTTGAGGAGTACGCTTAAGCCTGACTAAAAATAACACGAGATTGACAAACATGACTTGCAGTAAAACCTAGTCAGCTAAATAAATCCACATTCTCTTTTTTTCACTGAAAATGATGCTATTGTGTCAAGACGTTAAGGTCTGACATTATCGGAAAGCTTCTGAAGTAAATGCAAATCAACCCCACACGTTAAACAAAGACAAAATTAACTCCTCGGAAACAGACGTCTGCGTTATTCTCATTTGATTGTTATTTTACTTCCAGGTGCAATTTGTGAGTTTCATACAAATAAAAGAAAAAAGTGAAGAAAAATGAATATTCAAAAAAATAAAAGGCAGCCAAGCACTTAGTAGGCTAATACTATAAAAGCAAGTGACTTCCAAAGCATCATGCAGCATAAAATATGTCCACAAACTAGGCTTGGCAGTCTTCATAAATAAGTAACAAGTATGTTCTCTGGGAACTTACTGAGAGCCATGCAATTTTTATCTTGGGGAACAAAGCATAGCTTGTTAAAAATATCTACACTAGTGCTCTGAGGACACATGGCTAGTTCTGTTGGTTTCCTGATATAATAAACAGAATTTAATGCATTCCTGCCTTAACTCTTTACAGTTTTTTATTGAGGCTACTCTGTTTTGGTTTTTAGACTCTCCCCTTTTTTTAGTATTTTAGTGTTCACACATCAACGATGTACTGAAAATGTAAACGCTTTTCTTTTGTGCTTTTGCAAAGTTTTATCAAAACAATCCTGCACAGGTCTGCTAAAAATGAACTAAACATCAATTCAAATGACAAAATGCATTTTTTTTACAAAATTAATGTGGTTTACATGGAAACAAAAGCAGTCTCATTTTAAGAGTTTGCACACGCCATTGAATTGAATGGGTTTCATAGCGCAGAGTTTTCTGTGTCTAGTGTGAGATTCATACTGTGCAGTGACTATGGCTGAAGGGAAAGTGAATAAATGATTGCCCAGCACAAAATACTGCTGGGCAGTGTGGCACAGCATAGATTTTATGTATACAGAAATTATTTTAAACCCAGGTTCATAGGAAGTATGTGCCCAGGGATACATGTTTGCGAAACTGCAAAAGCGTGCTTCAGCAAAAGTTTGGCTGCAGTTTCTCAGTGAAACTAACGTTACGGGTCAGAATGACGTCAATGAAATTTTTTCCGTTTTACTGTAAAAAATCCCTACAAAATCGACGTTTAGAGGGACTTATTATTGTCGAATAAAGGATTATTTTCATGCAGTTATTCGTGCAGCAAAATAAATACCACAAAAAACGTAATCATAGATCGGGAGGTGATATATTATGCACAAGCTGGCCAGCTTCTTACAGATTTGCCTAAGAAGGACGTGTAAATGGCATTTATGAGAAAACATAGCCCAGTAACATATTTGAGCACTGCAAAAAGGCAGACAGTGATCCTGGTGGATTTGTCAACTTTGCCAGAGTAACGTATTTCGCATTTCATAAAAATGTAGCCCTGGGCACGTATTCACAATAAGGCAGGGTTGCATAATTTTGCCTGTTTTTCTTTTTCAGGCGAAAACCAACATTTTTGGAGGCCAAACATTTGGGGCATCCCAAAAGCTAAGAGTCTGGTAGATAAATGCTCTTTTAAATATAACATTTAAAATGTTAATATGGTACCAATTTCTGTTCTCAAAAGATTATATCCATTTTGCATAGAGGCTAGTCTATAAACTAGCAAATCTCTATTAAAATTGAGAGCCTTCACTACATGAGTGCTGGATGCAATCAAAGAGTAAAAACACAATACAACAAGCTCAAATTAATCAAAATGTTTAATAAAGTTACGCTTAAATCATCAAGAGATCATTTGATTATCAAACTAATTATAAGCTTGCACACAATTCTACAATTAGCTGAAATTAAACTCTGCAACATAACAGAGCCTTTTCTAGCTCAGAGATCTGAGTTGGTGTACGACCTACAAACAATTAAGCAGCTTAAGTTTAACACAGTTCAGGGTTTGTTTATAGACATTTATTGGCTACACAAAAGAGGTAACAGGTTTGGTGACTAAAGCTTTCTAAATGACTCTAATCTGCTCTGAAAATTCTTATGGGGGACTTAAACTAAAGGACTCTGGAGATCGATAGTAGACTGCAAAGCCTATCAAAAATGTATAAGTACCATTTTTGATCATTTTGGAGTTCAGAAAAAAGCAAATTAAATGGTCCTCTCAAAATGAATTTTGGCTATAAAAAAATAATAAGAGAGAGAGACGTCCAACAAAAACGAAAACGATTTCAAATTGAATAGTAATAGGGGGTCAAACTGAAAGTTAACCTCAGCGTCAAAACTGCGTCTCACCTGGAATGACAGAGATAGTTTTCAATGCTCGGAGAACTCTGAATGTTCTCAGCGCAGATACATTCCCCAGGTCCACAAACTCTGTTACATATCTGAAATAAGGGAGGATCACACACAGACACCAATGACAACCACAAACACACCAAAACACCACCATCACCACCACCACCACGCCAACGAACCACCAGGAGAAACGGCACTCACAGAGCCTGTCCACTACAGGGGGAAGGAAGGAAAAGAAAACCAAAATACACACACGTACACCTAACACCGACCCGAACCCATCCCGCTCACACACTCTCTTACCTGGGATTACAGAAATAGTTTTCAATGCCCTCAGAACTCTGAACGTGCGCAGAGCTGAGACATTGCCTAGGTTTACAAACTCTGTTATATACCTGCAATGATCAAATCAAAGTTACATGGAGACATGGTCATGATTTAGTACTTGATGACTTCCATATGCAGATTAAGATGAGCTGATTATTAAAAGGTTAAATGGTTTTTAGAGCTGGGGGATTCAATATACCGTATTTTCTAGAATATAAGTTACAGAATCAACTTTTTTTAATAATTTGAAACATGTAGTTTTTATATTGCAAGTATTTGCCTAATTTTTTTTGGCTTGGCATTGATAAATAGCGGGTGTTGTTATTGTTAATTTTTTTTATTGCTTTTTCTAACCTGATTTCTGTTCAATTTAAAGGGTTTGTCGTAAAGTGAAGGGAGCTAAAATGTTTATAGAAGTGTTTATAATGTTTGTAAATACAATAATAAAGTTGTTTGACTTTAATAGTAAAGCAATTTTGACTTCTTGCGACTTATATTTTCTGAAAAATACGGTAACAATTACAATACAAATACAATTGCTGTGACAATTATATAGATTATAATTCATAATTTAAAGTAACAAATTATTATTGTTGTATTATTATTATTAATGATCGTTAATGATCATTGTAAAAAAAAAATATATATAGACTAATTTTATTATAGGCCTAATAACAATACATAAATAACAACAACAATAATAATAGCATTTGTCAAAAGTGCAAACTATCATATCAAATCAAAATATCATTTCATATCATATGTGTCACGGTCACCAGCAATCCAGCGTGTGCAGATCACTATACATGCAGATCGCTGGAGAACTACAAATCTGCCAGCAAAAGAACTGCATATCCAGTAATGCACCACTCAAACACCTGGTCTACATCCCCATGATTGCAAACAGACACAGCTGAAGCTGTTCAGGACTAATTACAGAGTATTTATACACCTCTCAAACACACACACGTTGCTGAGTCTTGTTATACTGAACTGTGAACACTACGACACATTTTCCTTGCCTTCCCTTCCTTGTTTGAACCTTGCTTTGCTTTGTTTGTTTTACGATGTCTACTGCCTGCCTTTTGACCATCTGCCGGTTCATTGACCACGACTCTGGATTGCCCGTATACATCTGCTTGCTCCTGTGTTGACTGGTCCTTGCCTGACCATTCTCTGCATAATAAACCCTGCATTTGGATCTGCATTCCCTTGTCAGCGTCCCATTCACATTACAGAAGTCTCAGCCACATAAATGGATCCAGCGGGTATTAAATCATGCATCTCCATCAGGAAGCCTGATCTATTGAGGAGTGTGTGGAGGACTTTATTCAGGTAGCCCATTAAAACACTATGAGTGAATTGTGTATAATGATTGTATACTGTAACTCAACAATGCCATTGCCTGAACACAATTGGACACAAGAGTTATTTTGCTGGCACATTTGTAGTTCTCCAGCGATCTACCGGTATACCGGTGATCTGCACAGACTAGATTGCTGGTGACTGTGACAATATGAAAGTCTCCTGCCAAAAAAAAAGGTGACAAATGTGTAATGGACATTTGGCAAACAAAAATCAAATCTGATCTGTTTCCCACCCCAAATAGCTTTCGTAAGCATTTCTGCCCCTATAGTGAATTTATGGAAGAACATACATTATATCTGAAATGAATATGTCCGGAATTTGAATACAGAAAACATGACAGATACATAAGCTGATAGAAAGAGATAAAGTGAAAATGGAGAATGAGAACTAGAAGAGAATCATTGAGTGTGTGGGCTGCCGGGAGTCGTGTTGTTGGTGAATGGCTCTAAACACTGATCTGCTGGAACATCTGAACGATGAAAATTCTCAGAAGAGAAGAAAAGAGTGAGCATCAGAGCAAGAACCAGGTGTATTCAGAGCACAGCAAGAAAGATGAGGAGAAAAACAGAGTCACAAGGACAAATGCAGAGCAGTGAGGAACTGGACAAGACACGAGCAGAGCTTCCACATCCATACAGATGCTACCTAAAAACATTTAAATGGTTAGAGACAAAACAGAACAGTGGATAATGTGTTGTTTGTGTACCACACACACAATAAAACCTTTACAAATATTTATTTTCATCATCCATTATAAAAAGAAATTTTTTTTTAAATTTAAGGAATTTTGGAAAAAAGACAATCATTACCAGTTGAATGATCTATTTTTATGATTTTATACTAATAAAATGACAGCTCACAAATAAGCATTCATAATTGCATAACCAAAATGATGATTTTACTTCATTATATAATCAATTATATATTTTTATCAGTTAGGGCTGGGCGATTATTCATTAAGTAATCGAAATTGTCATTCAAGAACCTATAATCGATCTTAATTTTCTAGGTTGATTTTTTTTCAATAACGTTCCCTACAGCGTGTGGAGTCATGTGAACCCATTCTGTTAAAGTCCCCAAGAAATCAAAACTAACCATATAATTTTTTTTAGCTCACATTGGTAGTTTTGTGGTGAATAGTTCATCTGTGCATGCCATTAAGAAAAAAAATATTTTCCCCTTCTAATCTTTAATTGAAATCTGTAAAAGCACTTCTTTTTGTTTTCAGTTAAATTGTCAGATTTTATATATATCTTAGCAAATGGGCGTGGCTATCAAATTTAATCACGCTAACATGTTTGTTGAGGCGGTGGTTTCAGTTAGGTTAATAATAACTCTCCCCAAACCCCTTTCCCAATCCTTACTACATCCATTCAGCTTGATGTAGAAAAAACAAGCCACGCCCACTGTTTTCTCACCCTAATTTTCGTTACACTGTTAAACCCAAATAACGATTGCAACAAATCATTTAAGTTCAAAAACTAATCCTAATAAGTGCTGTGAATTTAATACATTTGAGTAAATGAAGCAATAGGACCACAATAAAACTCAATAAATGAAGAGAACGCAACTGAGTACTGTAAGTTAAGGCAACTCAAACCGTTTGAAGAAACTGATAACTACAAACCATTTGATTTAAAAAAGTAATCTATATAAGTACTGTGAACTCACTCCACTTAAGTTGAAGTAATGAGGTATTTAATAAGCTCATTACCTTCAACACAGAGTTCAAAACTCTTCAAATGAGTAGAATTAATTTTCAGTAAATTTTGAGTAAACTACACTCATTTCGTTTGATGAAGCTGACTGTTGGGTTTTACAGTGTAGGAACTCACGTCACAATGCAAAAAAAAAAAAAAAAGTCGCAACTTCCGGTTCTTGGGGACTATTTTCTTCTGCGTCAAGTGCAGGCGTATGGTCTGGCACCTCCTATATGCGGAAGCATACCCCTTGCCATGGTTGATATTAACGCTAACTTGCACCTCTCAGATATGTAACTACACTTTGTGACGACATGTAGTGCAAGCTGTGTGATTGGTCAGCTTGGTAGTGTTGATAAGTGTGGGCGGGGCTGAGAGATGCAGGAAAGCAGTGTTTTAATTTGTTTCGAAAAGTTATTTATTTTTTACTTTTGGATAAGAAGTGACTGTAAAAAGTGACTGTTGGTTTTAGTCAATTCGTGTTTTAATTTCAACTGTTTAGCGTTAATGTTCAATAAATAATCATAGAAAGCTATTTATTTTTAAATCAAGTTATGCACCCTTCATTCAAAAATCTCTCACTTGTAATACAAGAGCTAATTAACTGTACATAACCTGTCAGTGAACTATGAGGCCAAAAAAATAAATTAATCAATAAAATAATCGTAATCGAGTTAAAACGTTTAATTAATCAAGATTTTGATTTTAGGCCAAATCGCCCAACCCTGCTATCAGTTTGAAAGTAAATGATTCTGAGAGTCTGCAAAAAATGGATTAAAATCAAAATTTATATAAACTGTAGAAGAAAAAGAAAGAGGACACATTTTTTAAAGATTTTTTTGCTAGTGGTTAGTCTTAAGTTGCCACTTACAATATTTCCTTGTTATAAAATGTGTGAGTGATTGAATACTTACGCCATTGAGATGACCATGAAATCCAGCCAGTTCCATGGATCTCTAAGGAATGTGAAGCCATCTATACAGAATCCACGGGCAATGATTTTTACTGCTGATTCAAACGTATAAATTCCAGTGAAAGTATACCTGAGGAAAAAGCAGGAGGTTAAAATATATATAAAACAACTGTGGTATATATTGTGAATGAGGCATTATGTGGTTTGGATCAATACTTACTCTACTTGTTTGGACCACTCGGGAGGATTACTAAAAGTCATGAACACACAGTTGGTCAAAATCGTACACATAATGAACATGCTGAATACTGTGAGTATCAGTTAAGGAAATTCAGAAATAATCACAGAAAAAAAAAAGAGTTACAACATACATTTTACTTTGCAAATATAAAGGTTGGGACATTCATCAATAATAAATTACCAAATAAATAAATCAATTGCCAAATAGAGAAAAGGATTTTTGACTAGTTATAAAGCACTGTTAGGTTTGACAAAATTTACATTTAAAGTCTCCATTAAATATTTTTGTAAGCACATATTGTTGAAATTAACTTTTTACGGTCTTGTACTTTTGATGCAGAGCTCACTGGCCTGAGTACGGTGTAACACGGTTCAACAAAAAAGACAATCGAAAAGCATTTGAAAAATCAAGGTAAAGCTATGTGATGGCAGTGTACTTTTCTTTTATGTTTGCTCTTGAAAAAAGACTATTGTTTGGGTTTAGATCAGTGATTCACTAGGTGATCTATACGACAAGCTCTGCCTTCTTTTAGACGTTTACAAGAATATCTCAAACATACTAGAAAAATACCCTAAGCAACGCATTTTAGATTTGCAATAACAGATACCACCCTCTAGTAGATTTGTTCTTTAAAATGTGCAACCAAATATACCCAGAGCAACATATATAAGCTACGAAAGGTTTTTGCAATAAGCCTGGGCTGATTTATACATGATTTACTTTAGTAAGTACCGGTAGTGTTACCAAGAAAGGTATATATATTGTCAATATTCAATAATACAACACGCATCACTAAATGGCGCTAATGCCAACATACCAGTCAGTTTTCAGCTCATTTGTGTCATTTATTTATGCAGATCAGATCCTTCAACCTTATTAACCATTACGTTACTTAACGCTCACAGCACAAAACATTAGTGTTTGAATCTTGTGGTATTGACTTTATTCTTCAATGCAGAAGTGTGCCTGTTTCTGCGATTTTGGAACTTCCGATTCAGGGAAAAATGACTAGTAATAATAAACAGCAGAAAATGGTCCAACCGCTTGCTATCCAAACAAGTATGTTTATGACTATACATAAAAGTAAAATAATACAATAAGAAAAGATCCGTTTAAAACATGAAGCCGCATAATGAGCTGGTTTAACGTCTAAAGAAAATCAATGGAAGTGAATTTGACTGAAAATCTCGAGCCAAAATGACTGCGAAGAATAAGGTCAATAGAGTATGTTTGAAAATGGCCATACTTCATTCTTTTAAATGAACTGCAAGTTAATGTGAAATAAGTGGCATCAAAATCTGAACAAAACACATATCTTGCTACTATGTTGTCAGAAAGTCTTACTTTTGTGCAATACTGGCCAGTTTTGAGACTGCTGTATTATATCTTAAAGTAAGGATGAAATATAATCAAAAGTGAGCATAGCATCCTTATGAACTACTATGACGAGCAAAGCAATGGAGACTTTGTGAAATGAGCAAAGAAAAACGTTATTATCTTTACCTGAAATTTTACCTGAAATTAAACCTTTTAATTTAAAGGTTCAAAACAACTATAAAAATTAATTTTGAAGACAAAAATTTTGTCATCCTGGGTCACATTACATTCAAAAGAAAAGTTTTTCTTTCTTAAAGTGACCATCACATGTGGGGCTGCACAATATAACATTTTAGCATAGATATTGCAATGTGTGTATCCGCAATAGTCACATCGCAGGATCTCAATGTAGAATTGGTATTATAATAATAATAATAATAATAAAAATAATAATAATAATTCCTTACATTTACATATCGCTTTTCTGGGCACTAAAATCGCTTTACACATGGGGGGAAATCTTCTCATGCAACGCCAGTGCGCAGCATCCACCTGGATGATGCGACAGCAACCATTTTGCGCCAGACCGCACACCACACACCAGCTCTGGTGGAGAGGAGACAGAGCGATGAAGCCAATTATGATATGGGAAGGGTTAGGAAGCCAGTGGACAGAGGCCAGTGGGCAGAATTGGCCAGGATGCCGGGGTTAAACCTCTACTCTTTTCGAAGGACATCCTGGGATTTTTAATGACCACAGAGAGTCGGGATCTCAGTTTAACGTCTCATCCGAAAGACGGTGCTCACTGAGCAGTATAAAATCCCCGTCCCTATACTGGGGCATTAGGACCCACACAGACCACAGGTTGGGCGCCCCCTGCTGGCCTCACTAACACCACTTCCGGCAGCAACCTAGATTTCCCATGTGGTCTCCCATCCAGGTAATGACCGGGCGCCGCCCTGCTTATTATAGTCATTATAGTTGCCCAGGAGCCACAGTCATTAAAGGTTTTTACCATAATGGAGCAAAAGTTTATCATTTACATGTGTTTTTAAGCCTGTGACTGTTTAAGTGTATTAAGAGAGTTTAAATCTATCAGGCACAAGAAATTGTAGCATTTGTAACTTAAAATTAAAAATAATCTTTTTTAATTATTTATTTAATGAAGACTATGCAGAGCTATTTTACATTTGATTATTTAATTTCAAAACCAGAATTCTTATTAAACAGCTGTTTAAGTCATCTTGTGGAAAAAATATATATATATCACAATAGATATTAAAGAAAATAAGGCATTTCAAGGTCAGATTTTTCCAATATCGTGTAGCCCTAATCACATGTACCCTTTTTATTCTGAACCATCCTTACAAATGATGTTCCCCTTCCCTTAAAGGGTGTAAGAACACCATTAGGAATTTGACCTCAATGTCCTTGGCCAGGAGTTGCAGCGTCAAAACAGAACACAATGTGCTGAAAACAGACGACAGAGCTACACTCATCCTTTCCCTTGTCTCTATTTGGCAATTCTGTTGTCAAACAAAACAGTTGTCATGCATCTAAAATTCACACCTACATCCACACCCACTGATTTGCTGTTATAGTCCCACAGTGAAACAGACTGCTAACTGAAACATATCATTCTCAGATCTCTTTAGTGTTGTTTCTGATCAATCCATGCAATAAACAGACATTTTTCATGCAGAAAAAGACAACATTTAGACGGCTGAAAAAGGATATGAATGTATCAAAATTTTAATCGCTATTCGTCTAGCAAGATTAAAAGGGCTTATCATGTACAAGGCAGGTGTGGCACTAAAGCGGAAGATTGTTTTCCCTTTATTTAGGACTACAAATGTCTGTGGAGAGAGAAAAGAGAGAGAGAGAGAGAGAGAGAGAGAGAGAGAGAGAAAGAGAGAGAGAGAGAGAGAAAGAGAACAACAAAGAAAGAGAAACACTAAATTAGTTGCAAGCAGAAACAAACATCATCGACTATTCAACTGGACTTCAAGCTGTAATAATCACTCTGAAAGCAGCCGTCTATTTCTAGAGGACAGGGCATCAAAATGAAGACATACTGTTTAATATAGTACTAAATAATTAAAGCCGCATTCTTTGGCCAGAAGAAAGTAAATCCGCAACACTGAATGCAAAACATCCATGTTGTCTCTGGAGTACAATAAAGTTAAGAAGATTACACAACAGTCTTTATAAAACAGTTCGTTCTGGTTCTGAATTTCCATTGGTTGAGAGTGCTGATATCTGGTCCAATGAAGAGGTCTGTGCTGTGATTTGGAAAAAGCACGTTGAAACAGGATGAATGTAGGAATAATTTACCCAAGCATTAAAAATCTGTCATCAAATTCAGCAGGATTATACACAGGAACACAATTTTGCTGCTGCTATATGTAAGAATGTTTATGGATTAGTCACTTTTTATTGCCAATGTGTGAATTGCTTGTAATCAAACTCATCTAACAAGACGAGACCTTCAGCAGCTTCCTGGGTTGTCTATAAAAGCCTGCCGACTAATTTTGTCTAGTACATTTATGGCACGAGAGTCAAAAGGAAGAGACATTTACAGCACATAGGCTCCTGAGAGCCTCTTTTCAATTGTATACACGAAATGAATGTTTATAATTTATATAATGTTCAAGATAATAGTCTGATAGAGCCAGTCTGTACAGTAATGTCAATGTGAAAAAAACAGATTCATTCAGGTCAAAAAAAGCCAGTTTTGTTAGTTTTATAAAACATCTTCAGAATAATACTACCTAAAAACAAAATGATTTGCGCATAGCTATTGCAAAACTGAACTCAAAATAGCAGCACACACATACAGTACACATTCGTAAAATGTCACTCCATATACAGTTGAAGTCAGAATTATTAGCCCACTTTTATTTATTTATTTATTTATTTATTTATTTATTATTTATATTTTTTATTATTAGATTATTTGGCACTATTACGAATTTTTACGACACACAAACACGTTTCACTAATTTATAACTGCGATCGTGTTTAACAGTCATGCTGTAAAAAAAACAGCTAAAATAAATATAATTTATATAACTCTATATTCTATAATCTCTAATCATAACTCCTGTATAGCAGTCCCACAACATTCTGACACTCGAAGACACTCGAATACCCTGTCAGAAAAGCCAAGAGGCTGGGAATGACCTTTTTACAGTGTCTGCTGTAATGTTAGTGTTGTTTATGTGTGTTTACATAGATGAATAGGGTCACTGTGTAAATGTGCAGTATAGTTACGATCTTATTGCCACATTAGATCATTATGATAACATAATATATGCCTTCAGTGATTTCCTGAAGAGGAATACCAAAACATAAAGCAACTGGAATAACTACAGCAGTCACGATCGGTGTGCAGGTGCTGTAGTGCTATCCCATTTCCTAAAGGTAAATTTTGAAGCCTTTCCCCTTCACACTCTGTTTGAAGGGCCAAGGGGAAGGGGTAGGGGTACAAAAATAGAAGAGGGATTGAGCCTAAACATCTCTTGAAGACTTTGCAGAATATGCACTTTTATTCGTTGTTTGAGGCAATCCCAACTGAAACACGAAGAGAGGGTGGGACAGTGTAGCTTCTACCTTTTTTCAAATACAGCCAATAGTGTTTTATTTCATCATCGCTCTGCCAGTGAGAGTGGTTGAGCTCAAGCGCATCAATTGAACAACAAATGAGGGGGCAGGGCATGTCAGATACTAGAAAGCATTTGATTGGTTGTTTTAATGAGAAACTGTAGTATGAGGTGACATAAATATAACTGTTGATCCATTCAGGCGTAAGTGACAAACTACAAGCTTTACATGTTTATATCAGTTTAATGTCTTCTAAACGTGAATTTTGTCACTGTTTTGGAGCACACTAGCTTATAGATATCCTAAAAAAAATTATAATACTGATACTAACATATAAAAAACTTAATTTTAATTTCATGGAAACTTTAATATAGGAAGATAGTATTGCAAAATATAGAGCAAAAACTGATATTTATAAGTATTTTAAGCAGGTGGTTTGTAATACAGTTACAAAAATTGTAATGGTTTGTATTAAACAAATAGTTTATCTTATCATTTTAGATGTCTTTGATACGTGTTGTATTCATATTTCAGTCTAAGCACACAGATTGTTTGGAAATGGACAGAGATCGATCTTTTTAACTCAGTCCGCTTGTTTGGTGTGCTCCAAGGTTTAGAATTTTGGCTTCACAATAAAACTGAGATGTATCAAGTACAACTGTCATATTCTCCTCACATGAAACACAAAAATCTAAAGCATAACATTTAAAATAAACACTGCTGTTTTAAAATTTTTAAAACATTTAATGACATTTGACATTTTCAAAAAATGTCAGAAGTCTAAAAAGGTTTAAATTAGGGCTGGGCGATATGGCAAAAATGCAATCTAAATAATTATCTTCCAGATTGAATGATAACAATATACAGTTGAAGTCAGAATGATTAGCCCCGCTGAATTAATAGCCCCTCAGTATTCCAAGTACTTCCCCAATTTCTGTTTAACGGAGAGAAAATTTCTTGACAGTACAGAATATTTGACTATATATTTTTCAAGACACTTCTATACAGCTTAAAGTGACATTAGGCTTGACTAGGTTAATTAGATTGGTTAGGCAGGTTAGGGTAATTAGGCAAGTCATTGCATAAAGATGGTTTGTTCTGTAGACTATCGAAAAAAATTTACTTAAAGGGGTTATTAATTTTGTCCTGAAAATGGTTTTTAAAAAATTTTAAACTGTTTTTATTCTAGCCAAAATACAATAAATAAGACTTTCTACAGAAGAAAAAATATTATTAGACAAACTGTGAAAATTTCCTTGCTCTGTTAAACATCATTTGGGAAATATAAAAAAAAAAAAAGAAATCAAAGGGGGGCTAATAATTCTGGCTTCAACTGTATATTTCGATATAAGTTGTTAATGAGTTGTTCGATATAAGTTGAGTTAAAGAGTACAGCAACTAAAGCATAACATTTTCAGTTAATAAATTTTGGGTGGCCGAAAATTCAGTAAATCTCTAATATCAACACACTTTTAGATTCCCATTGTTGTACATTTCTGCTGTGTGATTGGCTCTTAGATCTATATAGAGTAAAGTCCAGAGCTTATCATTGTTATTGAAATTAATTTTGTCGTGATTTGATATAATATCGGCCCAGCTTTAGTTAAAATGCCATATTTATTTAGATTTTTTTTTCTAATATGACAAAAATGAATCCTGACACTACCTGGAAACTTCACTTCTCATTTCTGACTGAATCTGAAAAGACTGAATATATAGAAAAACTTTGCAGAGATAGACCACGGATGAGCTTGCTAGCCTTTCAGCAGATAACCTCATAATTGTTTAAATAAAACATGTTCGTGACCATCAAAATTTCATAGGAGGTCGCTCGCATTCGCAGAGATGGGATGCACCCCTGCACTTCTTTTACATGCCTGAGTTTAGTGTAACACAAAAAAACCTTTTTCAGCACCATGGAGAGCATCAAATCTACACAGCCACCATACGTACATGTACTCAACATAGAGAAGGAGAAATAATATACAGCACACAAGATTAACACAGCTCGTCTCATTTCATTTGGTTTGCTATACTACAATAACTGTTAATTAGGTTAAAGAAGCACAGCTCAGTAAATAACACCTTGTATATGTAACTAAAGATGGAGAAGAGCTGAACCTATTTGGGTCAGACTGAATCAGGCCACCATGTAAACTACATTCAGACCTGCTTAGTCAAAAAAAAATGATCTTCTTACTGCACTGCAACCCCAAACGCAGTGTGATGGATACAGTCCATCTGTATCCATTCAAGCCAGCAGTACACAGCTGATGTAAACCGCAAATGAAACATGAGATGAAAAAATAATGGTGCATATATGAACAAAAATACATTTGCCCTTCCTCAATATTTGCTGTCTATAGTATAGACGTGCACACAAGAGAAGTGCATGTGGGTTTCCTCTTTTTAACGCATGACAGGCTGCACAGCTACTGAAAATTTCATAATCTAGAATGGAGTAGTGAAAAGACAGATAGAGAGAGAGAGAGAGAGAGAGAGACAGAGAGAGAGAGAGAGAGAGAGAGAGAGAGAGAGAGAGAGAGAGAGAGAAAGCGAGAGAGAGAGACCAAAGAGAAATGAGCAGGCAGTGAAAGGAAGATGAAGAACGAACCAGAAACAAAAAAGACAATTAACAATCCATCAGAAAAATTACAGCTATAAAAAGCAGGAAAAATTGATTTGGCCACAAACCCCAGGACAAAATGTACTTTATGCCAGGAAATAAATAAATAAATATTGAGCAATATAGAAAATGGAAAGGTATAAAACTAAGAATAAAATTTTATTAAAATTTTAATTGAAAATGTCAATTTAAACGTTTAAAATGTATGTGGTGTTACAGAATTACAAAACAAAATAAGGCCAATGTCTGGATTTTTAAGACCTCAATGAATGTTCTACATAAAAAATACAATCATGTTTTCAATTTAATTGATGTTTTTGTTCATTTGAAACAAAAATATCCATTTCCATATTTATTTCAATTAAACTAGATAATTATTATTTTAATTGATCCATTATTTAATTATTTTAATTAAATTAAGCTATATTTATGGATGGCTAAGCAGTGGCGCAGGTAGTGCTGTTGCCTTACAGCAAAAAGGTCGCTGAAGATGAAGGTTGCTGGTTCGAGCCCCAGCTGGGTCAGTTGGCGTTTCTGTGTGGAGTTTGCATGTTCTCCCTGCGTTCGCGTGGGTTTCCTCCGGGTGCTCTGGTTTCCTCCACAGTCCAAAGACATGCGGTACAGGTG